ATAAGACAACATTGATACATATTATAAATACACCCCATTGATTTATTATATGACACACACATAACAAAAGGTCATTACACAATTATTTGTTGTGTGGGAATCAAACTCATGACCCCTGGCTCCACAGTCAAGATCACTAACCTAAAAGAATTTCTCAATATCCTTACATATTTTATCTGTCACTACACTTTAAAAGCAGTCACAAAAAATCAGATAAATCACGAAACTGACGTCACCATAATTTCTCCGACATGGTTCTATTATTTAAAGAAATGAAATGCAGTTATTTTGCTTGCAACATTCAAGTTTACAAATCATTCGCTAATATGAAAAGTAAACACGAATTAACGGTACCTATACCTACCATAAAAGGTGTATGGTGAAACCGTACGGCCCACTGAACCGACCATTTTTGACCTCACACGCATGTTAGACTTTTTTGGCGAGACAGAGGACTTCAAATGGCGGATATGTCGCCTACGCTGTATACGACTGTCGTATCTCTTAATGCCATCAGTTTCATAGTACGCCACTAATATACACTTTATAATTTGTGTATTTTTGTCAATGGACAATAACGTTTATCTCTAACGGACGGAAATTACTCATTAACGTCTTGAACTCAGTAAAACTAACTACAATATTAAATAACTATGGAACCAACAAAAAACTATATACTTAAAATGAAAATTTAAGAAGTAACTCGATTTTTTTTAAAGAGATTGATTTGATCTCTTCTAGTCTCGAAGGTGAAAAAAATTAATTAGGAAAAAAATAGGATATTATTCTTGAACCTGGGTGGGTGGTAATCAGCAGTACGCACTTATTATAGCAATACCTTGTAATTTAGTACTGCAGTGTCAATAGTTACGGTCATACATAACTGAAATGGACGTAAAATTACCGTAAAATGTATCATATCCCCAATAATACGTGTTTAACATCATTATTGCCGTAATACGCGCACTATCTGATTTACACATATGTATATGAACAAATACTTGCTGTACCTTTATATTTCATAAAATTATAGTTACAACTTATAAATTATACATACGCTGTAAAACTCTTGTTTTTCATTTTCGATAAAAAAGTATCACTAGAAAGATAATGATTCATGTGTAGGATACCCCGACTTATTAGTATAGCGTCAAAAAGAAATGTACATAGTTTATAATTATGTATAATCTTTAAATAAAATAAGTATATATGTATTTATATTTCCAGAATTCCCTAATGAAAACATTTTCCTTAACGCTGGAGACCCTAGTAGAAACAGTGTGCAACATTGCGCCTAGCGTTAAAGTAATGTGACCAATTGTTATCAAATTATACGCATAAGTATTATAATTAGGGCTTAACTATATCTAATAAGCATTGATTTTATAGGATTGTTCAAACAACTTGATTATACTGTGAAGTCGATTGTCAATACAGAGAGCATTTGTCAAGCAACAAAAGATTATAGACTAAATATTTACACGATGTTTTATCTTAAACATTGCTGGAAATGTTTAAACAACTGGCGATGTAATTCTTAAGTTATGGAGAATCTTAAAAGCTTAGTACACACTATGACATTCTTATTTACACAAATGGATTTGACATTTTGCAGAATTCTTATGGATGGTCAAGGGACTGAGGTATACTGATTACCTAGTAGGGAGCCGATTCCTAGTAACAGGAGCATTCGTTTTTGGACGAGTTGAATTCCGCCTACCACAATAGTGAATACAATAGATACGTCGACATGGTCAATGTTTGTGAGGGTAAGATACTATGTCACCTAAGCGGTGACGTAGTATCTTACCCTCGCATTAGTGGACGGAATGGACTTCTAATTACCTTCCATCCTACGCTCCACGTCTTCTACAACAATTATTTTTTCTGAAAAGAATGAGATATCATCGTTGATATCATTCTTTTCAAAAAATAATTGTTTTTTATTATTTATTTTTATTGTTTTTGTTTTTTAATATTTTCTTTCATAAAAAGAAAAATATTAAAAAAAAATGCTGACTTATGACTTGTGTACAACAAAAGGGCTGTATGTTTAGGGCTTAATGAAATATGTTAATGCAACAAACACGCGAAATGTTGTTAGGAGTGCCATTTCAATCAGCACAGATGGCCACACATGATCTGACGCAATGGTAATGATAGTACCAGACCTCCCGCTGCGTTGCTGATATCATTTAAAATAAATGCGCCTCAGTTGTTTCTCGAAACTAACTCTGAAATCAATCATATAACATCAAGATCAATCAACAGTATTAGATCATATTAGAACATAGAAAATACAATACCAAAGTAGCTAAAACTCTTGACACGTCAATAAAATCATAATAATAATAGGCTTTTCCATCAGGTGACCCGCCTGTCCGATTGCTCCCATGTACCATAACAAAATGAAAAAAGTGTTGTACCTCCTGTGTAAGAATACATTGTCTATTTTGAAACAACAAGTAAATGTTAGCCTACATTGTATTAACGTTATAAGGAATTATTAATGTTAATATAACTTGCAAAAATACATTTGAGTACAGTACCTTCTCTTAACAAAGACATGTCTTATGTCGCGCCAGCTGTCGATCTAGGTTAGATGACCAAATATGTCACCCAGAGATTAAAATAATAAAAACAATAGAACTCTCTATGTGTCTACGTTATATTATGTATGTATAAGGAATTCTCAATCCCTTTTCAGAATCTTAAGTATATTGAATAGATTTTTTTATCTAATGAGAAGTGACATGGGACAAAAGAAACACTAAATCTGAATCACAATTGATCCAAAAGTGTTTGAACATAAATAAACATCACATAGACTATGTAAAATTGGTGCCTAGAATTGAAATAGATTATTTACACTGTGATCATATTCTTCCATAGTATCGCTATATTTCGTGTAAATAAATAATAATGAGTAATTTTGAAGAAAAAGTATCTTAATTTTATACACATATTTCTATTCTAGACCCGTATACTTGCGGCTATAAAATTAAATGCTTTTCATTCATAGACTACGAATTATTGAGAGATATAAAAAAAACATGCGTATATTCAAGATGCAGTATCTTAACAGTAAAATTAACTATATTTTCTTAAATTAATGACATGTTACACTCAATATTTTAATGCCTTTATTCAGTAGCATGTCTGTTTTGTCTCGATGCAGTACTTGTACGTAATATAAAGTGACACATTCCTCAATTGAAGCATGAGCGGTGGCGTACCGAGAGATCACAAATTAGCGCCAATTTATCCCTCCGACTGACTCACACGGCAGACACGGTGCGATGGCTGCGTGTTTATATCATACAATGCTAGTAGTATCGCCAGAAAAAAGAGCAAACAAAATACTCAATCAAGAACACTTGACCACGCTTAAGTTGATTAACAGTTATAACGGGGCAAACTTCGTAGATAACAGTACAGGTCGAATAATATCAAAAAGGTCGATCACATTTCGAAATCTCCTTAGTCATTCGTACAAATAAACAATCACCTTTAAAGTCTTTGAACAATTCAATCAATGAAGCCAAATCTTCCGTGAAAATGATCAATGTACTCGTAGATCACGATTCTGAAACGAGTTCTGTCGAAGTTGGAATAACAAAGCAGAGTCTATAGAGCAAGTGCAAGTTAGGCATAAAGACACTACCTTACGAGTAGGCAATAGGCTCTCCTCAAACTTACTGCACGTTTAATACTTCAGTCTTATAAAAAAAAGTGCAAAACAGTCCTCATCCGTCATTCATGTCATGAAATGTAGATACAATTCTTTGATTATTATACAAAATTCTCTCATTGTATTGACTAAAACTTAATATTAGCTAGTCTAAAAATAGTGGGTAGTTGAAAGACTTTTAGGTAGGCTTATACTTAGTGTTCGTAAGAATGAAAAATAACTATAATGTGAATTACCTACTAAAACCAGTATGTCGCAGTCTGCCGACCTTGTCTGTGAATAACTTATCAACGCAATTGACCTTTTCACAATCCCACCGTCAACGGGGAAGCTGTCAGGAAGCAGGGAAATTAGTTAGGTACACCTCGACCTTCATGTTTATCTGATCTAGATTTTGTGTTTATTTTGATAACGCCTCGTAATATAAAGATAATTATAATGATTGATGGAATACAGTTAAAATACGTCTATTTTATGTTGGTATCAGTTATTTTTTTATTTTACAAATTAGTATGTTATCAAACAATAGGTAAAAGTAGCGATGTACAAAGTAATGATTAAAATGCGATTTATCATGTTTTGTTCAACGATTTTCCTCATTTAGGTTTCAATTTGTAGCTTAAAACATGTCAAATTGTTTCATGTACAGATCAAATAAATTGTACATAAAACAATTTTGATCCTCCTGGAAATTCAATTAAGTACCTATCTGCTTCTGTTACCTAACAGAAGCAGGTACTAGTCGGTATTACCTATAACTTATGTATTGCAAAACCGGAAAAAAATGGCAGTGAATTAGGTGCGCTCGTAGGATGTATGATATTATAGCTAACCAGTAGAGCGAGACCATCTCTTACTATCCACACTATTACCGTAAAATATTATTCCAATGACTTTTACCCATTACTATATTTTTACGTAACAGTACAAAAGTCCCACTATGTCGGCTAAACCTTCACACGAATTTAATTTTAGAACAATGAAACAACGGCTGTAAATTTCGACTAATTGGAGATGAAACATAATCTTAAATAGTTTATAAGCGTAACTAATTCCATATACCAACGTATAGTAGAGCAAGACAAGATCTTTTGTAATCTGCTGCTGGCAGAAAATGATCGGTCTCACTAAGCTTCATTATATATTATTATGTATAAAGTTCTAAGCATAATCTTCGGTAACAAAGAAATTCTAATCCTGTAGACTCTTATCACCTTTCGAGTCAGAGACTAGACTAGAGAATAATTAACTGTCGTAAAATACCTACTCATTATCGAATAAAAAGTTTGATGGATTTTTTTTCTTTCAGAATGTGGTGGACCATCACGGGAAACTTCGGCAATATTCTTCCGATTGACTGGACCAAGTCGTTTTCTAGAAAGATGCATATTCCGACTTTGAATCTTAATGACAAAAAGGTGAGGCTAGGCAATTATCTTCACGTCGATGATATTCTTGCAATTTAATTTTGATAAAGGATGCTAGTTTAATTTTAAGAAGTTTTCTAAAGTTAGCTTCAATTATAAAATATCACCTATTGGAATAATCACAAGTAGAATTAAGAATTTGATGACCTTTTAAAAATCAAGAGAAGATCAGTTAAGAAGTATGGAATAAACGTGCGAGCACGGGACCCTTTAAAAATCAATAAAGAAGATCAGTTAAGAAGTATGAAATGACCGTGCGAGCACGTGACCCTTTAAAAATCAATAAAGAAGATCAGTTAAGAAGTATGGAATAAACGTGCGAGCATGTGACCCTTTAAAAATCAATAAAGAAGATCAGTTAAGAAGTATAAAACTAAAATTCTTTAAAAAGTATCTCAAATTAATTACAGATACCTTAATCAATCATCAAGTTAATACTAACTTTTTTAATCATAATTAACATTGAAAACATACTTACCACAACGGTTCGAGTAAATATTTATTTCATTTTTTTAAATTATACTCGTGTTTTAGTAAGTCTAGTAAGAGTTTGGTGTCAGATTATTGAACAGAAAACTATTAATTTTCTTCTGAAATGTATTATCTTCTTACGTCATTACAACGAAATACGGATAAAAATTGTACCTCACATTGTCTAACCATGTTAAAGTGGAACTTAAAATTTGTTATTTCACACCGAAAAGATGCAGGTGTTGCCTTTTTCTAGGAAGTTCGTAGTCTACGTCTCCGTACTGAACAACTATTTTTATTTATTCTTACCGCTTCCTTATGCAATAATATGTGCAATGTTATGTATACGTGTGGCGACGGATTAAGAATACAGAGCATCACTACCCCTATTCATCCCGTGGGTGTCGTAAAAGCCGACTAAGAGACCAAACTACAGACGACATCAGCACTGCAAAGAAAAGGAAAACTTAAAACAAACTACCTAAACTAAACCCAACTAACTTAAACCCGTCTAGCCCGCTGGCTAATAATAGGCCAAAACCTGATTTCTAAAGAGAGACCTACGTCTAGCAGTGGACTAATAACTACTAATACTGTTGATGATGTTGATGTTATACAATACTTAAATAGCTTATTATAAAACATATAATAGACAATACTTAAAAATTACGCAATAGAAATAATAGAAAAGGATAAACAAGGCAGAAACAATTACTTATGGAATGCAAGAACTACTAGATATGCATATATAAATAAAATAGGTTTTAATAGTATCTTAACTAGGTTGATATTATGTAGAGCAATACTTTCTTATTTTATTCACAATAGACACTGCGTGTTTTCTAAATATCTGAAGATAAATTAATTCACTGACAACCTTATTCATTCCATTAGGTAATAAATTCCTTTTTCCATCCTCTATTCTTTTTGGCCCAGGGATCAATGACACCAGATGACGAAATTCATAGCTCGGAGGATGAAGCAGTCGCGTCTGATTTGGACATGCACGCACTCATTCTAGGTGGACTGCATCAAGACCACGAGTGTCCTGTTAAAACAGCTGATGAGGTTTGCTCATTTTTTTTTTTTTGGTGTGTAAATGAGTACATGGATTAGTTGATGGTAATTGACTACCATCGCAAATGGATACCTCCAATTCAAAAGAATCCAGTGCCTTGTCTCCTTTTGACATCTCCCCCCCCCCCCCCTCGAGTAAGGTGGGGTTACCTCCGGTAAACTTACTGACTCAGTGAACATCGGTTTTCTGTGAGGTGGTGGTATCACCCCGGGCCGTTGTGGCTAAAAGCTTGACTCTCCCACAGCGAAATAGATCTTTATATAAAATCAAATTTATACATAGCAAATGGTAAATGCAAGTCACTGTATTTGGCTAACGGTCATTACCTTTGACGAATCATGAAACGTCAATTTTTGTGGTCAAAAATCTATTTATTAAAACCAATTAAAACAAGATGACCGTAATAATTTATGACATTACTGAAATGACGTAATCGAAAACACCGAAGGCGTCAACGATGTAACTAAAACAAAATTTCGCAACGATGTTCAAATAGCAAAATTTATCTTTAGGTCATTCAGGAAATAGACGACATGATGCAAGATACACCGTCATCAGAAGGCGATATTATTGAATATAACGAAGCTTTGGAGAAAGGAAAGGAAGTTCTTAGTGCTCCGCTCTATGAAGACAGTGAGTATATTTTAGTCTAAACATTTTTTTTGTTGTGTGCTGTGCCTAAAATATTATCAATTTTGTAATCGAAAGCAATATATATATATATATATATTCTAAAAACAAAACACTATAAAGATGTCAAACTTCTTTTTTAAAATCGTAAATAATCTTGATAAAATATTCACTAAAATCTACTTGAATACGCATCATTATAACACCGGTATGTTGACTTCTATTCAAATAAAAAACTTTGTTTTTAAAGTAGGTCTTTAAATTTGAATATCCTTGTAATATATTTATACTACTACTAATACTAATAACTAGATTCCAGTTCATAAATGTGAGACTATCGTATAAATAACTAAGTATTAATTATAAATAAGAGGTAGGCACGTCACTAACGAATAAAACGCGTGCTGTGAATTAATTCGAGACATTTCAAAAAATGCCTTCCTGTGTATTCCGAAAGTGCATAAATTACGACAAAAAGGTAAATAAAAATAAAGGAATTTCATATTCCATAGGTAAGTGTATGTTTTGTTCTAAAATGCATTAATAGATGTATGTATAGTGTTATAGAACAAATATTTTGTCTATTAATATAACGTATCGTCCTTAAAATATCATTTATAAATATATTACCGTCAACCGCACTAAGTCTCCAAATAACTTCTCGGAGTCCACTTAAATTAACAAAAAAAAAAACAATATAAATACATTTCATTTGAGGTAGTTCAATACATGAACAGATTTCTGTTATAAATATGAAAGCTGTCTTATAACGTCCGATTCTAATCTAGAACTTAGTGATTTATGGAACATAAAAGTCATTAAAAGAGGTCTTGTTTTGTTGGGAGACTTCTTTTCTACCAACATCGGTTGCTTACGTCATAATATATACATACCTGAGTAATAACATCTTAAACACAATCTTAAACTACTATTTTTATTATAAATATAAATATTTGTATTGAATGGAAATCAAAACAGTGACCCTTCAAAATGGCAGTTGAATGCAGTACGATCGTCTTTATAAAACAATATAAAAACTGGCTTTTTGCATTTTTGCTGTTCTTAATACCTCGTGCGAGCATTTGTAGTTTTTCTCTGTCCACGGTATAATTGACAAGTCATATTTTTTGTCATTTAAATAGTATCTTCTATGAGATAGTATCCATTTTTAGGTCGAAGCGTGAGAATTATTTAACAATGGCAATAGTTATGTCATTGGAATTGACGAAATGTCTTGTTATTTCTATGTTTTCTGTCGTCACGTTTGTTTATCAAGTCATTGTGTTCTTTAAATGTTTTTGTCAAGTTTGTTTTTAATAAAATGCCCACTTTAAAAAAATAATCGAAAACATCATTCTTGTTTTTAATGAAAGAAAGAATGCGTAATATCACCACCATTTACCAAAGAAACAATACTAAAGTTTTAGTATTGAAACTCGGGCGTACTTTGTTTATACATTTACTGTGAAAGTAAATCACAATCGTTCAATTAGTTTGACCATTGCTACGATTCGACGTGGACTTGCGATTGAACGCCAATTCTTTTTCCGAGTGCATTCACCTCAGCTTGAGATTAATTTGGCTCATCATTTTGTTTTCGCGACGTAACGTCAGTCTACGCCTTGCTCTAATTCGCCGCCAACATTAGCTAAAGATCACACAAACCTCACAGTTTTATTTCAAGTAGTTGAACTGCTTCTATTTTCCAATTTGCGGGAGAATAACGAGAACGAAGATTACTATTAGGTAAACATCAGAAGTCCGAAATGGACTGTACGTAATAGGAGGTAAACGACTCCTAATATTGACGTAGAAAGTAAAGAACGTGATCTGTGTAACAATAACTTACTAATGAATTCTTATTCGAATGCAATGCATAGCGTATGTGCAATTTTATTGTTATGCTAATATAACTAAAACAAAGACAGAAATAGAATATGCTAAAGTAACAATATAATACTCCTTGGATCTACGGTAATGCCATCACATGCTCGTTCTGGAATATCCTGTAAGGGGTACCCGAAACCATATAAAATATTCATTACTCTTTTTTTTCATGAATATACTTCCTATTTATCTGCCACATCTTGTCGCGTGGTCAACGATTATACAAATGGTATTATACCAGGTATTATGAACCCTACGAATTTAGGTTTTTTGATTTACTGTGTAAGTTTTCAAAAAATTAAATTCTCTAAAAATCATCAAACAGATATTTTAATTGATTTTTATGATATTTAGGATCAGCTTCTGACGAGGAATAGTACAGATACAAAACTTTATTTATATACGCATTTAATTATGATAGTCAGTTCCACAGTTGACCGTTGCTGAAAGCTTGTTTTCTTTTTTATCTAACATCTGATTAGCAACACATGTTGTAATAATATGCAGCATAGATCTATATATATTTATTGTCACGCTTTCTTTTATGTAAATTGGTCACGTTGAAGATTATCAGCTGAGATAAACTTCAGAATTACGTACTCTTTTGTATTTTATGAAGTTGTGACATTATTTGTATTATATTATATTGTATGCAATACTATTTTATCATAACATCCTATGGATATAAGTATCTCGTGGATATATGCTCCCGTTTGTTGAAATTGCTTTTTACCGACTTCAAAACGATTTTGTGCATTTTAGGCACAACAATATTGGCAACAATTTTACTCATTTGATTTGTTTAGAAAACACTTCGAACATTATTTCTGTATTTTAATGCAAGAAACCTTTGTCAGAAAAGAAACATTTTTTTATCGCTCAGTCTTTTCTTTTGCCTGGTAAACTGTAAATGTAAAATATGGAAACATTGTAATAGTGGGGTTTTTAAAGACGGTTTTAAGATTTAAACACAACATTTTTTTAATTTTTAATAAGTATACCTACTTATTAAAAATTAAAAAAATGTTGTATTTAAATCTTAAAACCGACTTTAAAAAACCCACTATTACGATGTTTCCATATTTTAAATCTCCTAAAACCTCAAAAAAAAACACTGCTCTTTAAAGTATTTATTCAAAATAACCTTTGCCCTTTATACGGAAAGGACAACACTAATCAGGCTGTCTCTTTCCAGAGTTACGCACTTTCTCCCTTGCTCAACTGAACGAGATCTTTATGGAACTAGAAGTCCTCATTCGTGAATTCTCCGAGACTCTTATCGCAGAGTTGGCGTTGCGCGACGAGCTGGAATATGAGAAAGAACTGAAAAACACCTTCATTTCGTTGCTTCTTGCTGTTCAGAATAAGAGGCGCCAGTATCACATTGAGAAGAAGAAGAGGCCCCAGCCGCCTCGATCACCCAATCTGAGCTCGGGACCTTCGGAGTCCAAGGTATTTTTATAGTCTTTTTTTCTCTTTAGGTACTATTTATTATATATCAATGAACATATCTATGGTATTGTCCACAGAATAGAAATAAAGGTTTGTTCTCTGTTATTTTCTGTTCTATGGTGTTGACATCTAAAAGTATCTAAGATAATGTGTAATAAATGTATTTCATTAGACATAATCTCGCAGATCGTGATAAAACAAGATTAATCTAACACATTAAAACTACAAGATAATATAAATGTAAAAATGTAGTTCAGTGTTTTACAATGCAACAATGAAAAACTGCGTGTTAAAGCACTAAACACCGTACGTAAACTTCTATCATTAATTAAACTAAATACCACTTACTCTGTTCGTGTTTTTTATTTATTTAAATAATCTAAAGTAATATCTAAAAGTTACTATCTAATATTACATTATAGTTGGTATTTATAATTATTTTAGAATGAGAAACAATGTTTTCAATCTGATTACAATCAAAAATATTTAATTCATGTAGGTATTTATTAATCTATCTGCATATATCATACCGCGGACTGAATACCATAATGCTACAGGTGAGCCAACCTGAGCGCTTCTTCATAACTGATTTTAATGAAACTGACTAATTAAATTGCATCTTGATGAAATTTAAAAATTAATTCATAAAAACAATTAACGCATATAATCTTGACGTTCCTACGTGTTATCTTGAAATCTGCTTAAACGATTACAGTTTTTGGTTAATTTTAAAATAGATGGAGTAACAAATTATAAAATTAAGACCGGTACTTATGTAATAATGTATTCTGTTTCAGTATTTGACCACGGTAATACCGTTCCACCTAGACAACGGATCGCCAGACAACCAGTCGCTTCAAGTGCTCATTAAGAGTAAGTCTATCTTATTTCGATTAAAACAAAAGCAAGGAGTTAAGACGGGTCCATGCCCTCCCTAAAACCGTATTTATTACCATGAAAAATATTTATTTATCTGACACTATTTGACACAAAATTAAAATCGTACAAAGGCGGGCCTAATACAATTTTATCATGCTTCTCGGCTTGTGTTTAAAGTAGTACAAGTATTGTTTGGTTAGAATCCACCACCGAATCTAAATCTCTCGCTGTCTCTTTAGATAATGAATAATTACAGAATCGTGATTTTTATACAAAAATCGAACGAACATACGGTCATCCAACATTCTTATATTTTGTTCATTTTCCTTTCAGTTTTGAAGGCGATCAATGAGGACAGCCCCACCGTGCCGACGCTTCTAACAGATTACATCTTGAAGGTGCTCTGTCCAACATAAATTTGACACGAACTTAGCCAATTGACGATAATGGTTCATTTACACTACGACACCACGATATATATTTGTCAGACACCAAAATACGCTTTCAAATCTATAGAGCAGAAAAAACACCCACTATGTTAGCAGCCTCTTATGCGATTGCTTTTTTGTGCTACAAGTTTTGAAATTTGCAATAAATGTAATCTTACACATGTTAAACTACCATCTGAAACGAAGCATTTTATGACAAAGTAAAATATGACTTGTTTCGGAAATTTGCGAACTGGATATGTGTAGCTTAAGATCGTACGTCAATGTTAGCTGCAGCATAAAAGCTATAGCCAGTCGTCGTCTAAATCAGGTACGTAGTATAAAAATATCTGAATAAAGGAGGGTAGGTTCCTTCCCTTTCATTAATTTATACATCTGTTGATTTACGCCAGTGAAGATACAATAAATTATCGGATATGAATTTAATGCCCTGAAAAGTTAGGTAAATAAATATATATTGTATGTATCAATAAAAAACTAATAAAGCTATGTTTTTTTCCATTATTATAAATGGTTAAAGAATGTTTAGAATCTGAAAGCGTAAGTGTCGTAGTGTAAACGAACCTTAAGACGTTCAACATTTCAACATTCGCACCTAACACTTCGTTTATACTGGACAAACTTCTGCCATATCCTTGTTTCTTAATTTCACTTAGAATAAATAGGAATAATTGGTGGCACTATTTCGACGGTCAATTAAAGGTGTTCACGTATTTGGTTTGTTAAATGGAATGGAAACGCATGATTGTTGATATTGATACGAATTATAAATGTCTTAAAGGTTTTAGGGACTGAAACTTGTGACGTCATCGCCAATTTTTTTTTTTAAGTTTGCTATAGAAAACATTTAGCTTGAATAAAATAAGCATTTAAAAGTTATGGGGGAATAAAGAAACTTAAAAATAAACATATATATGAATCCATGGATATCTATCTATAAAGAAAAAACGAAAACTTATTTATAATTATAAAACAAATATCTAACTTTGAACATATTCTATTTCTTTCCCGTTTACGATTAAAAAGGTAGATACCCAAGACGGTCATCAAGTAGCAGTATGTGTGTACAGATTAAGGTACATTTTGTCCCTATTAAGACAATTTATTTTTATACGAGTCAATGGAAAATATGGAAGCACCTTTATCGACCTGTCTCTCACATTTCAAAATAGAATTATATTTAAATAAATATTCATCTTGTATATGCATTATATCCAAGAAACACATTTTACAATTAGACAATTGGTATAATTATAATTATATATGATTTGCAATGTTGTGTTGGATTAGATTTCGACAGTTGTTGTTTATGTTGAAATGTTAAAGCATAGCCATACAACAATATTTTGATGGTTAAATTCAAACATAAAATATATACCGAGTACCTATTCTCTTGGCTCATGAAGTAACTAAGTATAAATAGTTACTTTTCACGGAGAGAATTATCTTTATTTGCATAAATGAACTGTGATATCACTAAGGTAGTTTAATTAATGCTTCCTTTTAAGATTTACGTAACTATTTGTTATTTTATCTCTCAAATATTAGAATACCTATATTTATTTTAGATTTTATTGTTCAAATACATCAATTGTCGCGAAATGTGCATTCATGTGTAAATATTTTAAAAAGAAATACTGAATGTGGAATTGTCCTCAAATAAAGCGTTTAGCTTAAATTTAAGGTATTTAGGTACACAGAGGAGGCTTGTAAATAGTGTTCAATATCAGCTTCTAATAATAGCTTATAATTTTATCTCATTGACTTTTAACACATCGGTTTTATTATAAAAACATCGAATTCTGTTTCTTTTTTTACGATTTTAGTGTAGCTTGTAGTAATAGTATGCCCGAAGTAAACCAGCTAATATAATTTGTAACAATTCCGATAAATAGATGTGTAACAAATAGATTTAAGTTGTATCTCTAGTCTCAACGTGTCGTAGTCATAATTTGTTATAATTTAAGGGCCTGTTTCACTACGATTCAAACTATTAAAAATAAATAGGTACTATAAAGGATACTTCCGATAGTTATAGACTTTTACACTCTATAACTATCGGAAGGGTGATATACTCCTCACGCTGGTCAGTCGTGAGTGTAGCAAGTCATCTTGCTGAGCGTCCTTCAGTACTTAGTTATATTCTTTAAATGCAACAATATAAAATCTCCTACTGTATCTTTTAAAAAGACAGAGACAGTGTATTTTTCTGGTGACGTAATTGAATTGACAGAAACATAGGCGAAATAATGCAGGACAGGCTCGAGTGAAGTATGTAATTATTAAGTATAATTCATTTTATGATCTTTGTAATATTATTAACTGTTGTCATTACAGAATACATTGTATTATGTGTATCAAGTATGTTTGCAAACGTTTTTAGTGTCGAAGGCTTCAGTCGCACATTAATAGTACCTATCACCAATATGTGCATAATGAAAGAAGAATTGAACGAAGGAACTGGACAAGGTACCCGATGGGATCAGTGTTGGTTGAATATAAAACAAAAGTGTAAACGTTTTTTGACTATTTGAGAACTTCTTATTCCACAAACGTCAACACACTGGGCGCTAAAAATATGACCAGTAAATATCATGTGACGAACGGATTAAAATTATTGGATTTTATTCATAAAAATAAAAATTATTATATTTTATCTTTAGAATTAAAATATACAAAAAAATAACCTTTGTCACCTACCTATTTAATAAATAATCATTATTCAGACTAAACAGAATGTGCACTGCGACTTTCTGTAGCAAAGTTACAAATTGAAAAACTCGAACAAACTTCGATCATCATCAACAGAGTTAAATTTAGTAACAATTTAAATCGTTGCAACTAAAAGTCGTAGAGTGCCTTGACCCTTAGGTATTCATGTATGCTATAAATGGTGTTGTTTATCAAAAATCTAAAAATACTAGATAATGGAGTGTACACACAAATATTCAAAATACATGCCTACATTGTATTGGGCTTGTGAATGAGGAGTGTTTATGAGAATGCATTGTAAGTACCTGGTCGAAATAAAGGAGCTTGAACAATTTATTTATTGTAGTCTATTATTTATGTACCCCACCACTAAAATAGACGTATACTAAGATACACTAGGTTCTAGTGTTCATCACTAATTTATTAGACGTTTGATCGTATAAGTGTCGATGCACACAAAAACGATTTACATACTTACTAAAATAGTAAGTAACCTAAAATAACCTAAACCTAAAGTAACCTAAAATACTTAAATAATGTAATTAAAAATAGCCATAACTGAGCAAGAAGCCTATATCTATGGAAAAGCATCTGCAAAGACGTTTGTATAAGTTTTTATTTATTTTATTTTATTTCAAAACTTTATACACAAAGTGTACAATGGCGGTTTTAATGGCATAGAAATTCTCTACCAGTCTGGTGGTGGTTGGAGTCTGGGGTGGTGTGGAAATGAATGATTAGGTGCACTACAGGTTAAGCAATTTCTTATACTACCCCCTTAAAAGGAAATGTTGTGGAGCTTCTAAAACCCCCCTTTCTGTATCTATTTTGAGACTGCAACGTCTCCGGCGCTGCGGGAAGAGCAGGCATCCATCCTCGCCTCCGCAGCTTTGGCTTATTCAGCGGGCGGAGGCTGCTCTCCCTGCGGCTCTATAAGAACACTCTAGGGGTAGCACAGATTCGTACCAGGTGGAGTCGGGGTCCATCAACTTGGTTCTTTGACATAAGTTGAACCTAACCTATTTTATTTGTTATCTGTCCTAATAGGTACTGTTAAAATAAAATATTTTATCAATGCAAAAGACGGTAAACACTACACATTTTAATTTTAGTAGCTCGTAATGAAAATAATACTGTAATTTAATATACGAGTATATCTACTGTTAAAAATATGTGTGCATGAAAGCTATTGAAATGAGTACAAAATATCATTTTTTTACGTAAATTAAAATAAAATGTAACCGAACGTACGACAACTTAACCGTAGGTAAAACGAATTGTTCAATGGTGAGAATTCTATATAATCTGTGGTAAGGTTGACATAAATATTTCAAAAATAATCGATTTCAATATTTTTTCTAAAAAATCTCCTCATGTTGAAACTTCGCGTGTGTGCTTATAATAATGTAACCTTCCTGTGAAAACCGTATCAACCCCCAACTTGACGGGCGGCAATGGAAAGCTGAGCCTTTTATTAAAATGGATACATGTTTAATTAGTTTCGATTTAAATATATTATCAATATATGATTTAAAATTTCTAAGCTCACAAATATTCGAAACGCAAGCCGCCATGACATGGACACTCAGTAAACAACATGGCTAGTAGTGTTTTATCATTATGGGTACTGGGAAATATAGATGCAAAATTAAAATAAAAAATGATATTTATCGACTAAAATTTTATTAATTTAGGATCAAATAAAAGTACCCACTATTCGGAAAAGGGTGTACTATCATGGGTTTACTTGACGTATCGCCTCTAACAAATTAATAACACTTAGCCCGTTAGAGAAATACTCTTGTCTATGAACGAGAAATAAATTATAAGTAGCGGCACGAAACTCTAGCGGTGACAGTTACTGCGCAGAAGTCAAAAATCAGGTATCTTGTGGGGTAAGAGGGACGAAGGGCGGGCGTGCGTAGCGCCGATTGGCTCTCCAGTCGCATTACGTCCCCCGCACTGATACGACACGCCGCGTGCTTCCAGAGTACAGTCGCGTTCTGAGTTATATTGTTATCGCTGTTAATTTTTGTTGCTGTTTTTTGTTAAGTTTGATTTTGTTAAGTTCTTTTTTGTGACTTTAAACAGTGAATATGCCTAGAAGAAATACTGTTTTTACCCGCGGCTTCGCTCGGAGTTTTAGCTTTCGTAAAAAATATTATTTTAATAAAAAGTATCATATGTTACTTCTAAAACCTCCAAGAATATGTGTACAAAGTTTCATGATGATCGGTTAAGTAGTTTTCTCGTGAAAGCGTAACAAACAAACTTACATTCACATTTATAATGTTATATAGTATGATTACTTACTTACCTTTTGTACCTATTGTTGAGAAAATAAAGAAATTCAAATTTGACGACTCTGGCACGTGAACAACTTTCAGAAGTTACACTCTATAACATTAACTATTTACTAAAGTTAATATTTGCGTGCGCGATAGTACCCATGCGCGGCTATCCCTTCCACGTTCCGCTCAGCGCTAGACTTACGTGCCGCTAGTTATACCCTCCTTTATGATTCGGAAGTAAACGTACACACAGAGTGCTCACTTTTTTCAAATCTCAATATATATTGCAATATAATACTTATTGCAACATCTAATTGAAAATGTATTTAAATCATTTTAAGTAATTCATTTTAAAATATTAGAATAAATGATGAAAAACATTTATATGTTTGTATTATTTACAAATGTTCTGTGATAAATCCATAGTAACTGGTAACACGCGAGTATGCCGAGGGTAGACTGACGTCACACCCTAGCTGTGAAACTATAACGCTGACACCAACCTGAAATTAAAACAATATGAAGTTTTTTTAAAGAGACCACTCACGCACTACGAATATAATTATTCTGTATCGAGAGGGACATTACAAACATTGATTCAAACGGACACAAAGAACACCCATACTCAGAACAACAATTTGTGGATCACACAAAGTGTTGTTCCATGTGGGGAATGCAGCGCATCACAACACTCAGCCACGGTACAATTATAATACAGTACTCCAACTTCATACAAACGGACGAAACGCGAGCTATACCTACGCGCCTCGATCTCGGGGTGCGCTCGGGGCGCAGACAGTCACGGCTGTACCGCAGTGTCGAACGGACGGTGTGTTGTTTTTTTTAACAATAACCGCGCGATTTTTTCTCTAAAAATCAGTTAACATGACGAGTAGGAAATATTGTGCTGTTTTTGGTTGTATGAATTCGTCAATAACGCATCCAGACATAAGGATTTTTTAAAATTACCTGGAAACTCTGAAAGGTAAGACTATAAAATAATTTTACTTACTAGTAGGTAGGTACATAATGTATGTCTTTCTATTTCCTTTTATCTTACGAAAAAAAAGGTGTTTGGATTAACTAATAAAGCGAATAGAGTATCGGAAAGTTATTGAGACGAGTGAAATAGGTAGTTATATGAGGTTCTGAATTAATCATGATGCGGTAGGTACCTACCTACTTACGCTTGTGTTAAAACTTCGGTGCATGTGTGTTTTGTTACTTTGCATAATTCAAAGTAAAGACGTGGTATTTTATTTTTAATAATATTTGTTTATTATCTGTGTGTATGAATAATACTAGAAAAATTTTTTTACCGTCTGTGTGTCATTAGATAGTTTTCGAAATTTTCACAAAGTGTTTCTGCTGCTACTATAACAACATATACCACTAAAAACTCCTCCAATGCAGAAAGAAAATAAAATAATTAAATCTACCAATCAAAAAACAACACGCATTTTTATTGAACACTTCCTATTCAATATACACAGTATTTCATTTATTTATATAAAAAGGATATTTACAATTACAAATCTAAATAGAAACAGAAAGTAGGCAAATATAATTAAAATGCTGGAGACGGGTAGCCCTAACGCATGTTTACGTACCGCGCGGCTGTAGGCATTTATTTCTATCATGCGGCCGAGTTACACTACTGTATTATAATAGTACCGTGACTCAGCGTAATAGGAAGCGGCGAGGCATAGAGTACTATGTTCAATATGCGGCGAGGTGACCGCTTAAATGACTACGTCATACGTACGTGCAGTCTACTACAACAACAGCAACAAGTTATATCTACAGCAATAATTCTATTAATAAAAGTAACAATAAGGAAATTATTTGCTTTATTCCTTGTATTAAAATGCTACCTAAGAATTTTAAAGCGGTTTTTGTTGATCAAGAAACAAATTCTTGAGAAACATTATTAGTTTACATAATATCATGCTACACCTTTTAGGAGCAGCAGTAGAATGGATTAATTCAGCTATATTAATTACTCTACAAAAGTAGTTGACCATGATATTAAAAAAAAAATTATATGTATACCTATACATATAAAATAAATTTATATGTATACCTATACATAAAAAATAAATTTACATGTCTACCTATACATGTAAAATAAATTTATATGTATGTGTCAAACTACTTTTGTAGAGTAATTAATGTAGCTGAATTCATTGAGATTATTGTGAGACACTAAAAGACTCCCTCTCTGTCTCTCTCTCTCTCTCTTTCTTTCTCTCTCTTAAAGACTGAGAAAGTAAAACCTGTCTCCAGGCTCTCTCACTCCAGACAGCTGAAATTATTAGAAAATAAAATACAGACCTGCCCAGTGACGACGTGCACGATTACTAGTATCCATCAACAATTTAAATGTTTATAAAATTTGCCGATTCTTCATAATCTAAATTAGGAAGGCACTCGAATAGCACAGTCTTACAGGCGTTTATGAAGAGGACATATTGTTGAATTATTATAGACTTATCTGCTTAGTTTTAGACTTACCAAGACTATTCTTCCATTGAGAAAAGTGGCGAGTGGTCCGCCAGAGTCGCCGTGACAGATACCGACAAAACCCGTACCACGCGTACAGATATTGGCGTCGGTCACTTCAAATATAGCTCTTTGGCACTCGTCGACGGGCATAATTTGTAGGTATACGTCACTCAATACGGATGATCCTGTAGGTTGTTCTGTAAAGACAACTTTTATCAACCACATTTGCCGACTATAATGACTTTTGCAAAATGCCGTAATATGAGGCAAGCTTTTGCCGTCAAAAGGCCACATACATTTCTAAATATTCACACTTGTAAATTTTCTAAATACATACATATTATAGATAAATTACATCCATACACAATACTGTCATTTGTCATCTTGAATTTGATCTGGTGATGGAACCAGAAGGTGGTAGCACTGATCAGTGATTATTAGTAAACCCTTCGAGTTTGGTCACATATTATTCGTATGAAGTGTTCAAGATATTGGGCGTGTTTTATTGATGTTAGGAGCTAGGTACATGGAGATTTTTTTTTAACCTTGTTATACGGTTTTCTTTTAAAGCGTTTTTGTTTTTTTTTATTTATACTGGATAACTTTAAGTACCTATGGTAACTGGGTAAACACGGGCCACTTTTTTTATTGCGCATATCTCAACAGCTAGCCATCAGATTGATTTGAAATTTGGGTTGATGTATTGTATATTTCAATATTACCAAATCATTTATATCTAATAATAATAATAATCATCTATTACTCCTCGTGAATAACGTTTTTTTAAAAGACTGAAAAGAAGAAGACATTTAATCAATAATAATTTGTTTTCACTACTACTAACATTTATTCGAAAATAAAAGTTATTGTTTTAAGAATATTTTTGCAATTTGTGAAGGCGCAGCACTAACCAAAAATATTTATTATATATCGTCGTTGACTCTTTAGAATTAAAAAGAAAAAGGACCCAAAATGTCAAATAACTTTGCTGTCGTAATATTGATCTCTTGGCACTTACCAAAAACATGTTTTTAAAAATAAAAGTCGATATTGTCATATCTTAAAAAAACAATAATTAACAAAGAAAATATTTTCATAATTTTTTAACAATAATATCTTTTTAAGGCACAGCTCTTACGGATAATTAACTTTTTTTTTCGTACCTAACGGTCCCTAATTCTGAGAATTAGGAATAGGAGATCAGTTGCCAATCAGATGCTCTTTTTCATCCTCAAAAACAAATATCAGCGCTGGTTTAAGATCTTGTTTACTAGGTACAATTTTAATCTTTGAATAATTTCTTTTTTTCTCAAATAATCATCAGCTATTTTCTTACTACCGACAATTTAACAATCATCTTTCGAGACGCTTAGAACTTAGCTTTCTTTCCTTCCGTTGATTGCGTTGCATTTTTCTTTTAATTGAATTTTAATTCTTCTTAATCTTCTAATTTTCCGGTGTTTCAGTTGCAATAATAGTAGGCTTTCTTTTCTTACCCCTTGCAGTTTTAATGGCATCTAATGCCTTTTGCATGTTATCCCCGGTAGTTATTTCTGCCCATTCGCTAATAAAAGAACTAAATAATTTAAAAAAATGCTACGGCCTGTGTATTAGTTACGTATTACGATTATGCCTAGAAAAACGATACACATCGCCTTAATAACAAGTACACAGTAAGTCGCAATCAACTGTGTACACAGTTAATCAGACCCACCCTTGACCATAGGTGTAAATATAAACAAGAAATAACCTGCTAAAAACAAATAGCTAGTCAACTATTCATGTGTTATGTATATAGTAACAAAGTCGAAGTGTGGTTATACAATTTAATCAATATTTATTGTAAGTTAGAAATTATAAACAAAACATCAAGTCACGTTCAAAAACCGTCAAAACATAATCCGCCGTCGTACGTCATCCAATGAATACGGCCACAGAATTATACTGGCCTCAACCAGATATAACTACTAGGTAGTTAGTTACCTTAGATGAATCATCCCTTTATGTTAGAAGTACTCCATTTTCAGTATTCGATTCACTCTCGGCTCTCGGGTGACTAAGTCGTGTTTCGAGCGAATTTATTAAAATAATGTTACGGTTGTTTACTACCCAGATACCGGTTTTAGCCGGTGCGCGCACGAGCGGCCGTCCGTTATCGCGTATTAAACCTTATACAATATGAGTGAAGGTATAATTTAGAACGGAAGTACTACGGACATTGCTGATAATTTAATTATGGACGGTAGCAGTATGGACGAAGAGAACTTAAAACAGAATGAAACTCAAATAATGAATAGCAACGATGAAAACTTACACAGCTGAGAGGGAGATTGGATTTTGTGCAGAGGAGAAAAGAGAAGAAAAAGTGAAAAAAATCATATTTGCATTACCAGCACAGAAAAAATACCAAAACAATTTGCATGGACCAAACAAATGCAATTTAGGGGAAAACATAGTAGGAATAAAAGCTATAAAATATGTAAATGCCTATAAAATAATCGTAACGTAAGGATCTGTTCGAAGTGCTGAGAATTTAACCTCTTGTCCAAACATTAAAGAGAACGGATGGAAAATATACAAGACATAGGTGGTTGGTGTATCGTATGGTATCATGAGAAATATAGACTTAGGCCCGTATTTTAAAAGGTGTCTCAGACATGACTCTAGTCTTAAAACTAATTGTAACAATTGTATAAATTCTTATATATATATACCATGCATATATTTATAATGTTACAAGATTCATGGTAATACTCACTATCTCTAGTTTTACCAAATCCGATTGCAACCGCAGTCATTCCAACAAAATCGGAAAGGAGTTCCATTCCACGGGGTAAATCAATAGGCGCGATGTTTACTAGAATCAACAATGATAATTATTATATTTTACAAAGTGCTGGAAAAATACCGTACAAAAGATATTTGTTTAAGAAAAGGCAGATTCAAGGTTTCTGGATTCAAAAGGAAGTGTTAACTTATCAGTTAGTAACAAACATGAGGCTGCTCGTGTCTAGAAGAAATAAAACCTCCAGTTGTTTTTTTTTATGGAAGGTTGGGCAAACGAGCAGACGGGTCACTTGCTGTAAAGTGACTACCGCCGCCCATGGACGCCTGCAACTCAGGAGTCACAAACGCGTTGCCGGCTTGCTAGGAAGGAGTACGGAGATGTAGGTGAGGGCGGGGAAGACAACTTTTACATGTCCATGTCAAAAGGATCAAGCTCTGATTACATACAAAAAAACCTAATATCACTTAACTGGGCGTTATTATATAACTAACCTCCAAATTTCACTGGTTTTAATAAATAAATAATTGCTATATCATTCTGCATGGCAAAGGGGTTAAACTGAGGATGCATCACAACACGAGCGGTCTCAGAACGTATGCCGCCATAGTAAAAATATGGGGTCCCGAGAATTACGGTAAATTTCCAAGCCTGCTTATGGCCATCCCACCAGCAGTGGGCAGCCGTTACTAGGCGGTTCGAGGTCAGCAACGTAGAGCCACAAACTGACTTATGATTGCGTAACACATCAATCAATATCCCTGCCTAAAAAATATAAAAGAAGGTTACCTTTTTTATTATAGTCTATACCCGAAAAGAAGTAGAACGAAGATCTCGCCCCCTTCTCCATAATTTGGGGATCCCATTACACGAGGTACGATATTTTCAATAGAAGATATTCAGGAACTACCTGTGGTTGTTCTTCTTAGCTTATTTGTTTTTGAAAAATATAAAATTAGTCATTAGCGATCAAATTATTAGCAAAGTGTTTGCGATGATCCGGAAGCTCCCGTGTGAAGACCTCACAGACCATCACAACCAACTTTTAGTGAGATCATTCAAAAGGACCCGGAGAGACATATGGGCAGTTTTCTTACTAACCCTTAGCCCCCTTTCAGCTTTTTACTGGAAGAAAATTTCTCCGAGTTCCTTTCAGTATCTGTGAGTTATCCTTACGGGATAAGAAACGATCATGTAATTTCATGTGTGTTTATCAAAAAATCACCGAAACACACACATAACTAAGTATATGACGATCGTTTAAAGTGTCAAGGTGTAACAAAAACTATAAATTAAACATTAACGGTACATTTAGCTATTTCTAAAAATCAAGTATACCATACATAAAATAATAAAAACTTACAAAGAACGGATAAGTATTGGGTATAACCAAAGAGCCACCGACTATTCTAAGGTCTAAATTGTTGATTTTCTCAGCAAAAAATTTATCTTCCCAATCTTTAATCCTCTTCGCTTCAGGAATACCAAATGCCTCGTGATAGCCACCATGAAAAGCTACGTTGGCAGAAACCCAGGGCGCTAATATTAACCCAAAGTATTGTAGAAGATACATTTTAATCAACCTTGTCAGTTCATCTGCAAACGGAAAAGTTCGACCCGATATGGATGTGTGATATGAATGGAAATTCTGAAATAGTCTCATAGATGTCGTGGTCTCAATAGTTAATTTTTTCAACATTGTTGACGACGTTTAGCGACCTGGGCCCTGTTTTATGAAGCTGACAATCCGACAAGTCCGACATATGTCAAAAAGTGACAATTCGACAATTTTTCTGTTTTATCAAACTTACAGGCGACAAAATTGTCATGGTGGAAAATTGACAAATATGTCGGATTGTCGCGACAATCTGTCATTTTTCTGTTTTATGAAACTTTTTGAGCGACAGGTGACAGGTGACAATTTGTCGTGAAAAACTTGTCAAATCTGCTTTATAAAACATATGACATATTGACATATTTGTAGAATTGTCCGACAATTCTGACAGGAACGTTACCCTCTGTCGCTAAATCATATTCTGAATTTTGAAGGTGTAAGAAAGTGTTTATAAAAGTTTTATTACAAAAATTGGAACTTACCTCGAGTAGTGAGAGTAGTGATGATGAATACTTGGAACAAATACAAACGAGAAGGCGACAAAGATCATTTAAAAGCAAAATCAATTTCTCCTTCTCAATTACAGATTTCGCCTTTAAAGAAAAATTTCGGCTAGGATGTAAAACTTCCGTAGAATATTTAATTGATAAAATAGGTCATCGACTTGAACATGTTACAAGCAGAAACATATTTATTTGCAAACATGTCAAAAGTCGACATAATTGTCACAACAATCCGACAATTGTCACCGACCATTGTCAGTAATAATTTGACTGTGGTTTTTTGACAAATGTCGAGTTTTAGTAAACGATTTTTAAATGACAAATATGTCAAGAATATGCCTGTCGATTTTTGACATATTTGTAACTTTTTTTAAACACCCTAATCGCGACAATTCGACAATTTTGTCACTTTTTGACATATATGTCGATATGTCAGCTTCATAAAACAGGGCCCTGACTTTCAGTATCCTTTCCCTTACCGCAATTTTTAATTTATATTAGAATAAACTTGTTTAGGAATAAATTAAAATATATTTAAATATAACCCTTTAAATGCCATTAACTATCTAAACAATAAGCGATTAAAATACTTTATCTTTGAATAAGGCTCAGGAAAACAAAAAATATGTTTAGGCACTTAAAACATTAAGATATACTCGTACAAGTTGTACAACATATTGTTTTAGTGGCACTAACCGATATAAAACCCACTTAATCTTTTAAAGGCTTCTAAGAAATATTCTAAATAAGTTATCTAATAGCTTATTAAAGTGTACAAAAGTTACAAGAAGCAGTACTAACTTTGATAAAATAGTAAACTGTTACTGTTAAGGTTAAAGTAGGTACAGTACCTTAGTTTTTCTGTTTTTTTTTGTGTTGGCGGTTCGATGAACGACTGACCGACGTAAAGATGTCTCCACCATAAAAATTGCATTCAGATTTTAAATAAAGGTCAAAACTAACCAAACACTTCAGATGTTTTAATCAAAATAATCGATTTCAAGTTAGATATTAAACCATGGAATTAAAACTTTAGCGTGAATAAATATTCACGCCAAAGTTTAAATTAGTTTATAAGTAAATATTAAAGTAAATAATACTATTAAATATTAAGTTTATTATTTTAAAAGTAAAATACAAATATTTTAACATTGCACACACGTATCCGTATCCGTGTGGTGACGGATTAAGAATACAGAGTGTCACCACCCCTATTCATCCCGTAGGTGTCGTAAGAGGCGACTAAGGCAGCAAACTACGCAGGACAACAGCACTGCAAAGAGAAGGAAAACTTGACACAAACCCTATACTAACCCGTCTGGCCAGCGTGTTATAGTAGGCCAAAACCTCCTTTCTAAGGAGAGGCCTAAGTCCAGCAGTGGACTATTCAAGGCTGTTGATGTGATGATGTGACACGCGTATAATATCTCAAAAGACAATCACAGACTTGATTTCATCATGAAGTTGATGTATAAATGATGATTATTTACTATATTTAGTTTGGTCGCAACCTAACTAAATTACATAACAACTATTTAATACATGGAATATGTTGCGGTCAATGTATTTTTTATAGTAGTAGATATTAGGTACTTAATAGGTTTCCTGCCGTCAGTATGACGCGAAGTGCAAAAATCGGTTGCATCATCGAATTATGTACGCATGATAGTCTTATACAGGCATATAAGGCCATTAGTGAGATATGTCATTAAAGACAAAGGGGGATGTTGATTGTGATTCATTATTTTTATCATATGGTGTTTAAAGTGTTAGATATTCACCACCAAGTGGAATATTCAATATCATTTAACGAAAACACATTGAACTACTGTACTCGTACCAAAAAGTATATAATGTCCAGTTAAATGCCAGTTAAATCATCTCGCCTGCCTGATGCAAGGATTCACTGGTAGAGGGAACGGCTAATTACGAGTTCAGATGAAATTGGCTGGGTTAGGCCTACTCGTATATGCGAAAATACCCGGTCGTGTAATAACTCTCTCGCACTTCGGGATAAAGTGAGCGGCCATATCCTCCGTGTTAAGACGTCATCTATATTAAGGGCATTATCGATGAATACCTGCCAATTCTTGGCCAATTGTCCCGTTGTTCCTACAACTGGAAGTCCTGAATGCTAATTGTAATCTGAAATATACTCCATTGACTATCACTTTTTGCTTTATTATAATAGACAGCTTCTTTCTAGACCTCTTTTTGTTCAAGGAAGAAAAATAAAATATCCATTAAAAAATATTTATAAATTTAATGTTACATTAACATCAACATACATCAGATAAAAAATAATTGAAACCGCAGTAATAGCGACGCGACACTTTTCTCTAACAGGTAACAGGTGTTGAGTACAACATAATAATTAAGTATTAATTATAAGAGTACCATTCCTGTAACTTCACTGATCCAATCGAGGTACAACTGTACCCTCGTAAATACCGAAGGTCGAACATCGTTGCATCCTGTAGAACTGATGAACGAAGTCACTCCTACCTGTCACCGAGAATTGGAAAATGAATCATTAGACTTAATTAAAGTTATCTGACTAAAAAAATACATAGGTAGATGGGATTAATATGAATCATTGAAGATCGTATTATATGTTTAAGTACAGTATCTTTTTTCCACGATTGAAAAGGGTTTTATTTTCTAGAATGCCAACACGGTTGGTTTTTATATTTGCCACATTTAGAAGAGTCAACAGAAACTAAGGATTTCAGTCTGGGGAGGAACTACTACTCAGAAAAAAATGATTGAACAATACAAATAGTTTCTTATATATTTCTCTTAGCAAGTAGAAGAAGTTTTTACCATTTTTGCCACTACAATGCTTCACATTAGTATTTGTTACTAATTTTTTTTTGTGCCTATGTAATATAAAGAAGATGTTTCTTACCAATATCTCTTCATCCTCGGCATCAGGGGTGAAAGTGTTCCTTATTGTCAGTGGACCGCCATTATCCCCCTACAAAAAAAAATGTGGAACTAAGATTGTGACTGTGCGATGTAGATAGATATCGAATTATTGATATTGATTTATAAATTAAATGTTTGATATTAGATTAGAAGAGCCTTTAAGACTTCAAATTCAATGACCTGCCAATACTCGATTTCGATAACCAAACGAAAAATAGTATTTCATACAAATACTTAGTGTAGTATAGTAAACGCATGAGAGTTATACGACTCTATAATCAAATTCAATTTAAACTTAGTTATTATTTCAGAATAAAGACAAACTAGATGCATTAATAATATGGTTAGAACTATGACCAGGGATGTTGATTCCTTTTTAAAGAATTGAATTGAAAAAAGGTACTTTGAGAAAAAAAGTGTGTCCCTACATTTTTCTGTTCGACACTGCAAGTAAACTTGTTGTCATCTGGGAGCACATTATTGTGTAATTTATGTACCAATCTATAATGCAATCACGATGTACTTAAGTAAAATAAACTTTATAGGTACCTTACAAGTCCCAGAAGCGAACTGAAAAGCGCATATGATGGTCTCCGGCAGTTGATTAAAGTATGATCCGTTACAGAACGAGTCTGTAATAACATTCATTACCCTCTGACGAAGCGTCGGAGACACGAAAGTTACACCTGGAACAAACATGATTACAACTTTTTCTCCTACCTTTCATTATTTTAAATAAAATAATACTCGTAGTCCATTCGCATTAAGAAAATAGTGACGCATCATTCAAACCCCGCCCCCTAACCAATCAGGTTACACGAAATTGTAGTTACGTACGAAAACTTGGCTTTATCGATGTGTTTGGAATGGAATATAGATAGATAGGTGAACTATCTACCTAACAAACGTTATACATCCTATCAGACATACACATGCTTTGGATAATCTCATTTACCTGTAAGATACACTGCTTACTTTGTGACCAATGATCCTTCATCGCAAATAAAATTCTCTCCAAAGCATTAATAAAAAGATACTGACCTAAGTTGCAAGCGATTTTAAGTTCTCATTACTCTCTATTAAAGTCTAAATATGTCTAACTTATTAAGCACCTACTAAAATCATTGTGTCACCAGTTTTCTGTTCATATAATTGTTTATTTAATATCTATTCATTCAAACTTATTCTACATATTATTATTTATCTCTCTATATTCGTAATTACAGAACCATCGATCACCAATTGCTGGTCGCCTAAGATATGTTCTTAAGGAATTATTGGCATAGATAGTATCTAGATGTATCTATTAGATACAATAGTTCTAGTTGGAACTCGCCATGTGGAAGTCACGTGTTTAAAAAAGTCACGTCGAGCGAACGAGCGTCGAATGGCTATTCATGCTCGGATTTGCCAGTGGTGTTGATTATGACAGTTTAAAAGAAATCGAGAACATTATTTTAAACATCCAGAGCAAACACGATTCATTTTTTGTAGCCACAAAATGCCATTTAAACCTAACCCGCCAATGGGAATGGCGAAATGTGGCAAAAAGGCCATTTAAAGAAAAATAAAGTTCAATTACCTTCAGCAGCGATACCCCATCCTGATACAGTAGCTCCCAAACCGGCTAAATTAAACAATGATATTCTCCTGTACGGTAGACGTACTGGACTCACTGTCTCTGTAATCAAAGAGTTATGTCATGCTAGTTATCGTTTATCGTTTATTGTCTATTAGTAACTTTGAGGTTAGACAGCTAACGGACTACAGCTATCTGTAGTGTATATAGAACAAACATCAATAGCATTCATGCATACAAATATTTGGACTCAGCAGGAATTGAACCGGAGCGGCAGTGACCCAGCGCGTTGCAGTAGAAAGCCGCACACCTCATTCCTCGAAATAAAACATCTCCTCTCCATCCATGAATGGAGTCAAAAACAGGTATTCTGCATAGACGTGGATTAATAAAGAGGCAATTAGAAGCAGGTAAATAAAAAAAGTATTAAAAAGAAGGTACCTGTAAATTGAACGACATTAGCGAGTCTCAATAGTGCGATATCGTTGGCAAAAGTCACCGGGTCCCAATCGGGGTGAACCACCAGTTCAGCCACGTTCACCACGCGACGGCCGTTCTCGAAGCGATCATACAATGAATGAGCACCCAAAATAACCTCAAAGTAAATATTTTTGTTTATGAGTTTGAAGATTCAATTTACTGTGACACTACTGTAGATACCTATGTTTCACTATCTGTATAAGACTACAGTATTACTAAGTATTTAAAAATATCAAAAACATTTTTTAAGTTAGTTTAACCACCATTGTAGACTTAATCATAGTTTACTGATGTTACGTATCAATTATGGAACATCGCACTACTGGCCATCAGGGTCAGTAGTGCGATGTTCCATACCGAGGGGGGTACCGCACGATCTCCTTCGAGGCGGCGAGTCTCCTGGCAACTGGTACCCGAGACGGCGTGCGGTTTTTGGTCGGTTCGAGTCCGACATAACCATCCGAGGTTAATTCCGCACAGAAAAAAAAAGTATCAAGTATGGAGACTGATCCGATTATGGTTTGGCCACAGAATACATGGTAACAGTTCAGTTTGGCATTTGTTTTTTTAATTTTATGAATTTAAAATCCTATCGGTTTTGGCATTAAACGTGATCTTAAATTTACCTGGACCTGGTCGACATTTTCTCCGTCATGAAAGCAGCAATGTGCTGCCGTAAGCACCCACTCTTGATGAATAAGGGAGGCGCCACAGAAGCCCAACTCGCCCGCTGTCCCCACACGAGTGTATAACGCTACCTAAACCAATTAAGTGTATGTAAGTTATTATTTAAATAAAAAGTAATTGTTTGAGACGCTCCAAATCTCCATATCTTTACATGTTCAGGCTACCTACACCTATATATATATAATGTTAAGTTGGTGTGTGTACGCTTCCAAAACTCAAAAGTTCTGCACCAATTGAGTTCAAGTTTTGACACGATATACAAAGCGCTGCAAAGATTGGTTTTTATCTATTTTTCAAAATGTGACACAGCTAAGCGTGGCAGGCGACAACGGCTAAAAAAAAGGGTACAGCTAGTAAGCAATAAAAAGTTCACGATGTTGGGTCTCAAAGCAAGGAAGGTAGTACTTATTACACTTATATTACAAAGATCTAAAGACTCGGCACCTACTCTTTTGTGGTACACAAAGACTTGAAGACTCGGCACCGTAGACTGAGCAATGACTGCTTGATTATATATTTTGCACTATCCATGGTTTTTGAGGGCATGTCAGTTCGTAATATTAAATAAAATTGTAGTAGTTAATAAAAGGGGTCTCTTGGCACAAGTGTGAATGTCATACTTAAAAAGAGGCCTTAGCAATTACAGACTTCGTCATTTTTTTTCAAAATTAGTATGGTAACCACGTAAATGAAATCTGTATTTTCTTATCTTGCACGTATAATATTTATGTTTGACGTCAGTACAGTTCTTGTTCTTCAAATGACAAGAATATTTATAGAGCGAGGCGATCGATCATGTTCGATTTAAATAACGCACTGTCAACCTGAATTGATCAAGTTTTAATAGAAATTGATTATTATTTAAATTTTAAATTATTTAATGTACACACTAGTTAATTTATAGGACTGCGACAGTATTGGAGTCAAGTGACAAGGAAATATTATGTACTAAGTCGAGCCCAGAACTAAGTTTTCTTTCAGCGAACCTTTAGACTGAATAGAGGATAGCAGAGAACCACATAATTTAGAACTTCACTTCAGAGTTCTGAAGTCAGCCATGTAGCCACAACATGTCGTTACATATCGTGGCTGCATAATACAGAAGACGAGACTTACCTACATATAACAGAATATTAGTACTCAAACCTGATAAGGCCTACTATTTTGTTCTGTTATTTCTCCCCCGATTATTCGAGCACTTCTACAATCCTCATCACCACATTGAGCATTTGCACTTAAAATGTAAACTGAACACAAATATATCAATTTTAATATCATTTTTATAGAACTGTCCAGCAACTGAACATACGATACAGCAACTAAACGTGAGAAAGTGATGTTTTATCTGCTTTCAAGTGTTAATTTGAGAGTTGATATCTTCATCAGGATGTATCGATAACGTTTTTCGACACGTAGGTAGATAACATTCTTTTGACCTAGTCTCATGGATAGGTATATTATTTCAACGGAATGTTGAGCAGAGTTATAAAAGAAGTTAGAAAGCAACTACTTTGTGCTTATAGTAAATATTCAACTGGCACTGCTTAATCCGTTCCATGATGAAAAAAATAATTGGAAACTAAACTAGACTATTTACTATTAAACTATATTATTATTATTATTAAACTAGCTATTGCACGAGGATCTAAATCAGTTCAGCGGTTTAAGCGTGTATTATTATGGATATGGATTTGAAAACAGGAACAAAAACTAATAAAGATGTTAACTTAGATTATTCGAAGGTTTACAAAATTCAAGTGGGTATAAAAAACTTACTTGTGAGATATAATACTTAATTTATTATGTATTAGGGTTCCGTACCTCAAAAGGTAAAAAAGGAACCCTTATAAGATCACTTTCTTGCCCGTCTGTCCGTGTGTCACCACCGATTTTCTTAGGAACGGGTAGACCTAGCAAGTTGAAATTTATACCAGATACTGAGGTCTATGGTGGTCCCTATTAGGTGTATAAAAATCAAGGTCCCGAGTCAACACGATAAAAACATATGGGCAAATTTCGATTTTCGCGAAAGCACACCTTAATTTTCAACTTTTTTATTTTTCAGAATTTCCTCTTTACTTGTGCTGTAAGACCTTGCGTTTAACCAAAATTGTCAATTGTAGGTCAACCGGAAATACCTTATAGGTTTTGGGTCGAAAACCTATATGGTAGTTCCCGTTGACCTAGAATCACGAAATTTGTCAAAAAGAAACGTCTTACAGCACAAAAAAAGGAATAATTTAAAAAAATAAAAAAACAGTTGAAAATTAAGATAAATTTTGGTACATACAAATTTTTGTCAAAATCTACGTAGGTACGGAACACTCGGCGGACGAGTTTGACTCGTACCTTCCGGTTTTTATTGTATACACTCTGGCCAGCTTAAGTGTACAGATTCAGCAGAAGAAAGAAAATTGCACTACGGTTTAAACTTTCTGCTGCCTTCTCTAGGGCTTAGTTTCTCACACAATACCGTGACTTAATTAGAGCTAAACTCTGAAATTTGCTATCTCCTTCAGTGTCTTCACAAAATACTTTCTTGATTTCTTTTACTCACAGTTTATTTTTTATTTATTTGAAACAGTAAAAGGTTAGTACCACTTACATGCTATGCTAAGAATAGTTTTTGTAATAATATGTTCAAGAATATTGTAAAATTCCTTGCCACTTGGTTTATACTTAAAAAAAAATTGTTAACTAAAATACAGGGTGTAAGGGACATCGTAACGAATACTGAAATAGTGTATTCAGACCATCATTCTCAGTCGAAAATCATTGGAATTTAATAGATGTCTAATGGTGAGTCCATTAGACATCTATTTTCGTTAATTACTTATGTGACCTCTGTGCGCCTACCTCACACGATTTCTACACCACCCAAAGGTTGACTGGAAGAGAATGCTCTGGGCATTAAGTTCGCCGATGTACAAAGTGCATATTTATATTAATAAATTAGTAAAAAGGTTACGTTAAGCTTACGACTATTATAAGTCGTAAGCTTTGAACTATTTTTGCTGTATATATCGATGCGCGCGCATGTAGCGATAGGTCACCCGGAATGATGCTGCAGCAACTACTGTTTATTCATTGTTCAATTAATTTTATATATTGTAAATGAGGTTCGCTGCTCGTCGATGTCAGCATAAAAATATAGCTAACGAAATGTACGGGTTTGCTCGTACAGCAAATAAGGATCTAAATTAACAGGTGGAAGCGGTCAAAGCTTTTCGGGATATTAATGCAATAAATAATAAACAATTTAAATAAAACAACAACATTATTTCAATATTTATTTTGATAATAGTTGAATGTGAATAATCGAAATATAGTTAACTACAAGACTAATTAAATGTATTGTTTAATAAAAATGTTTAGGATACCTAAAATAGTTATAAAAATTACTATGATATTATAAATTTTACTCTTTACACATTTAATTATATGAAGATTTTCAATAAAATAAAAATAAAACCACTATGTTATTTGAAAACATCATTTATTTTATATTCTCATCAATAAAGAAAGTTCTTTAAAATAAAATAAGTATAAACATAGGTTCACTAAACGTGCAGTGAAAGGTAGCGACAGTGAAGCGGCGCACACTCGCACCACCTCTCGCCCGACCTACACTACTCATAGACACGAATAGAACTAAAAATGTGTGTACGTTATATTATAAAATGTGAAATTTAGTTATTATATTACCTACAAAATTAACAATTTGTGAACATTGGCAGTAAAATAATTGTAAAACATGAATAATAAGAAATACGTCATTGTGAAGCACTTACGAGGCGATCAAGCATACTTACAAGTTGTATTACGACAAGCGTCCCGCCGCCGCCGCCGCTCGCCCGCGCCGCTCACGCTCTGCTCGCGCACTAACAATCACTATCTAATCGCGATATCTGACAATTATTATTTTAAATTCGCCATTTGTGAGCGAACAGCGGCGGCCGGACGGAGAGAAGACACTTTATAATGGAAATTAATTCTAATACAATTTATGTACGTAGCTTACGTCATATCTTTTTACTCAGATGATGCAAAGTCGATCGACAATATTAGTGAAATGTTAATCCACTGGAAAATCGTCATCAAATTTAAATGCGGTTACTTCCGTCGTCCTAACTAACGTTAACATTATCAAATGCGATCAAATACCGTCAACTTTTATTGGTCACATAGATTAAAACATTTTTATTACAATTCGAAATATTAGTAAATCTCACGACATACATTTCTAGTTCAACTGAATTTACATCATACTAACTCTTTTAAATATAAATAATTAAAATATATATATTCTCAATCTGAATGTAAACACTAAAATCATCTATGTATAAATAGCGACGCATTTAGAATTTTATAATATAATGTTTTTTATTTAATCATAATGTCTCATACCATAACAAATACACGATCGAGGGTGGGATCATACATACTCGGATATAATCTATTATAATATCTTTAATCGATACGAGTACCGAACAATAAATACGGTCCACGAGGGCGAACAATCGAACACTCAGATACCGAACAGTCTCAAATAACTTCTCATACGCAACAAAAAATAATAATAATAACATTTAACTCTGTTGACAGTCGATAGTGCCGCGAGTCGACATAATTTCGTCATTAGCAAAGCTTACGTAAGCAAGCGTCGTGAGAAATGCGCGACGCCCGTCAGTCCGGCGCGTGCGTGGCGTATGCGGAAGCCGCGCGACTGTTGCGCGACTGTGGCGCGATGTCGCGCGCGCACACTGAACGCGCCGCGAGGGAGCCGCGCGTGCGTAATGAGGAAACTTGCGCCCACATCTTTAACTGAAACAGACGTACAATAGGGAATATGCACGTGACACCAAAATGGACAAAATATTTTTATTTGTAATTTTTATTGCTAAAAAAAGATACCCATACAATTATTTTTGAAATTTATTATAATTTAATAGTGAAATTTAATCATCAAAAATGACTTTTTTAAGATTCCCTCGCAAATTTCTAAAACGCAACGCTATTGGTTGAATAAAACGTGACGTCAACCTACACTGTCAAGAGTGTCAACAAGTTGTGTGTATTTGTAATATTTGGTTTCTGGTGATTATTTGTTTCATTTTAAGTTAATAACTAATACGTTTTCAGTGTTAAATTATTAAATTCCCGTGTGGAAAGACTCAACACAATGACTGAATATACTTTGTCAGGTGCAGTTTTGATATTATTTGGGCATAAAGGAACGGCACAATATTTATAATAAGTTTTTATTGGCTTTTCCATGGTAATAAGTTAATTTTTATCACTCACTTTTTTAACTTTCACAAACTTTGTGAACTTCACTCCGTTGTTGACATCGAATTCGTCTGAAAGTGTAATCTGACGTCACAAAAAAGCGCGCCAAAATGGACGTGTTCAAATTGCCCCAAAATGATAGTGATTTTAATAATTTTTTTTTTGCTTAACGGTTTATATTTCGGATGTGTTATATTTATTTTTGGTAATGTAATAACTAGTAGAATCGTTTAAAAATATAAAAAAAATACATGCATATTCCCTATTTCAGTGAGAAGCTGTTATACTCACGTAAGTGAGGCAGTTATATATGTATGAGTACTGATGCTATATCAGTTAAAGGAATCAACACATGAAAATTGTTAGCAACAAAATATGTAGGTAATTGTTGTATTATGTTAGAATGAATGGTAATGAATGATAGTGGTAATAAGACAAGAGTAGCGCTGATATGATAAGTAACTTTTTACATGTAATTCAAAAATTACAAAAAAAAACATTTTTAATCAATTCCAAATAAAGTTTCAAGATGATTTAAAGTAACTGATTGTTGTAAACCGAATGAATGTTGTGTGTCACCGGTATCGTATAAAATATGGTATTGTCATCACACATTTTTGTTTTTATAATTACTGTGATCGACTTTTATGCTATGCTTTTAAGTTTTTTTTTTTTACAGATTTTTTATGTTTATTTTTAATGATAGGCCATCAGAAGCAGAACAAATTTAAAAATGAACGATTCTTCTCAAAGTTCTTAAGAAAAATGTTCTCATTGAACGTTTTTAACTTTATAAGCGTCAATTTATAAGAAGCAAGAGTGATGCGAGAAATTACAAATCACGGGTATAGTAATTGCGAATAGGTATTAATTTACGTGTTCGAGGATCGATACACTTTCGTGTTGGGCGAAAATCATATTCATTAGTAACGACCGAAATAATTTCAAAAAAATTAATATAGGAAGTACTGTCTTTCCGAAGGGCCCAGTGCAATTTAAAAGCAAGCGTGTACGTATGAGTGCGGTATACTTGCGCGGCGCATGCATATGGTGGGTGGGGGTGTTAGGGCGCGACGAGCTCAGAGAACAACTGCACTGACTTCTTCTTGAGAGTGAAGAAGGAGCGTCGCTTGGGCTCGGTGTTGGCGGGCGCGGGCAGCGTGTGCGAGCGCGGCGCCGGCGCCTGCGTGCGCGCGCGCAGCGCCTCCAGCCACGCGCCCATCTCCGCCTCGTCGTGCGCCTGCAGCAGGAACTCCGCGCCCGCCGCCAGCCTGCAACATGCGACGCCTTAGCCTTTCTTTCTCTAACTCAATAAACTCATTTTTTTCACGAGTAGTGGACAAGCTCGTGGGCAAAATTCAAATACTTTATTTATTTCTCTTTTTTGCAGAAATGTTCGCATACCTAAGGCGGAACACGTGCTTCTTCTTGGTGTAGTTGGCGGCCACTTCGACGACCGCGCCGTTGAGGTCGAGCGGGGACTCGCCTCGCCAGTAGGCATCGGGTGATGCCTTATACGCCTTCTGGTCCTTGTAGAACGACATGCGACCGTCCTTAGCTACCACGTACACCTTATCCCATGACCTGATTACAAAAAAATGTGTTGGGTTTCTTCGTTTATGATCGGTAACTACATTATCAGAAGTACAAAGGATACATGGAGTAAAGTAAATAAAATAAATGGCTACGCTTGGTGAGGTCCAAAAGGTAAAATTCAATCCGTTCATTGTTTCAATCGCGTAAATCTTTATATTTTTAATCTCAAAAATTCTATTAAAAGGTAACGAGGTAAGATATAATTACCTGTTCGAAGCTCGTTTGGCTGCTGACTCCCATTCATGTTTGCGCACCAGCGTTCCCTCAACGCCTTCATCTTCACTCGCGGGACTAGCACCCTCTGTACAAAAACATCACATAGTACTCAACGCTCAAACAGTGCCGAAGTTTACGCAGGACATTATTGAAATCGAGACATTCTGTGATGGTATGCTAGCTTCCCATTCTTGAAGACATATGCCTCGACAGCACTTAAGAACATTTGCGACAATATTTTATCATTTACGTCTCGGTTTCATACAATGCCCGCAAATTCCTCATATTTAACATCTAATGATGCTCTTAAAGATACTTTAAATCTATATGTGAAAGGTTTGATACGCAATCATGTCTGCACCTAACAATTTTGAATGAAAACCATGGGTGTAAATGACTTTTTATTTGATAAGATCACACAAAGAGTAACATGACATGCGCCAGACTATCACAGCAGCACACAAAGCGTTCACCGCGTTACACAACACACATTGCAAGCTGACTAAATAGATGGCATCTAAATACCTTAGTACACAGTATAAAGCCTTTCTTCTTTTGTCGTGAACAAAATCTGACACGACAGGTTTTTTTTTTAAATATATACTTACATAATTATGTTTTTTTATTTAGTAGAAACTTTTAACAGGTTCTTGAGAACATTGAGTTAGTTAAGAAACGTGTAGTTATATCAAGATTCCATCTACCAAAGTCATGTACGCTGTATACCTTCATCGTCACTATGATGGGATCCTGTGAGTAGTTTCTTCGCAGTACGCCACCGGAAGCTCCTGAATGGCGACTTGCTTCGAGACCGCGACTTCACCTTACCGGAACTAGATGGTGTCGCCGGCATCGAGCTCGAACCAGGAGCTATCCACGTCAAAGGATATGGGAAAGGGATTCAAGGAAACGTGCGCATTTATATTTTATATTCGAGGTCGTGCATAGGAATGTACAGGACATAGGTAGTTTAAAATTAAATATAAAAGGATAACGTATATATTTTTATGGGGTTTAAGGGGAAATGGGAAAAAAAACAAAAAAAAATTGTGAAAGCAACATAAAAACATAATTGCGTCGCAGCGAAAAAAACAAAAGCGCATTCATGCTGTTTATTTTTTTCTTATAAAATGACATTTAAGAATAAACACACAATGTAGTTAACAAAAACACATATGTTAGAGGCCGTGCATCGGATGACGTACATACATTTACACATTAATGTACCATATCACTAATTACAACAACAAGTTAACATTTATCACTAGGCAGATCATGATCCAAATTCACATCGAGCTAAAATCGATTCGTGTTTTCATTATGGGATTTGTGTATTTTATGGAAGGATAATTACAGGAAACAGGTTTTATATTACCACAGTTAAGTTTTAGAGAGCTCTCTCTTAGCTCTCTTTTAGAGAGATTTACAACCTAGACCTCGTAAAACTATTGCATACACCCATCCACCTGTACTTACTAGGTTTGCTACAATTGGTTTTAGGCAATCATCAGAAAGGAGCAAATAATAAGCACAATTGAATTTGAATCATGATAGAATTATGAGAATGATGGACTGACAAAATTAGTCATGTTATTATTAATCTACTATTAATCAAGTACCTGTTTACGTTAATATAGTGCAATAAATAACAATAACGAAATGCTGATGTAGTGTTCCGGAACCTCTAAAGACAAGCGACACTAAATTATAAAATGACGTATGAAGTGGTTGCTGATTTGAGTGAGCTGAGTTTTATCTGCTTTTAAGTACGGATTTAAACAAAGTTTTTTTTTTCAGCAATTAGAATTTCAGCAATGAAGACAATAATCAGGTAATTTAAATCGAATACATTTTTTGGAACCACCATTTTTTTTTAAATGAAACTTGACACCATTGAATGAGATGGAATTATATTTATAATAAAAATACGCAGGTTCTCTAAAGATTAAAATTTAGTTTTATTATTAATATTATTAACCAATCAATACTGGAGCAACACCTGAATTAATCGATTATCTATTTTATAGAACGTTAATCGAATTCACAAAACCGCAACCACTATTCATACGTTATTATGGTTCCCGGAGTAGAATTATGCCAGTATCCATACTGCCTACTACTTAAGTTGCCAACTAAGTTGACATAGCTGATTTCATATTAATAAAATGCATTCAGTACCTTTTTGGCTTTTGTCAGTAAATCACCCTCTAGTAAACAATTACACTACTTTACCAACTACAGATACTCACTGGAGAGGCGTGCAGGTTTGGCGGGCGTCTGTTTTGACGTCGAGGGTTCGGGCGGGGAGTCGACCATCACGGCCACAGATGTGGCAATGGGAGCAGGTTCAGGGGCGGGAGCAGGTTCCGGCTCTGCATGCGGATATTACAACTACGTGCTAGTTACGTCTACACACTACGTGCTTACGTACATGCAAGCGCAACGTTACGTTTCACTACATGTCATGCTCGCGACTGTGTTACACTCGTGCCTGTTTGTGAACCAGGTACGGTACAAATAAACAATTTACATTATATGCACATACAACATGTTTTAAAAACAAATAAAATGTACACGTGTACGCAGTCGCGTGAATACATTAAACAAATAAACATGCTACAGAGACCATACATTATTTTTATCAAATAATTAAAGTTATTTCTAATAAAGAAGTCGACATTCCTGTTAAATAGTTTACCCTACCTACAGTTTATTTCTCTTCCATAAGGTTGTGTAACATTTCCTTTGTAGAGTCAATAAAATTTATGTAAAAGCAAGTTAGTTCCCACGGTTCCCACGGAGTTATTTGAGCAATTGATGAGAAACCGAAACCCAGTGTATACGTGAACGTGTAAGAAATAATATGTAACAAAATAAAATTTTATAACAGTAAGCTATATAAAGAAGCAGATGCGTAATATATAGACAGCTATAGAAAGTGAAGCAAATAAGAACGCACAGGTGAAATACCTACCTTGTTTGAAGGCAGCTTCGTTTGTACAAGAGATCAAAAAGCTCCGAACACGATATAACATAGTATAATGTACAGATCATACAAAGATTACTGTCAAGGAGTGTAAATGGGTACTAGTGACCTTTCTAGAAGGGCGATGCGAAACAATACTATTATTTCAATTGTTAAAAGTAATATGTTGTTCCAAGCAAAGAATAGCTAAACAAAATTAAATTTTATTTAAATTGATTGGAACAAACGATATTACATACATAAAACTAATACCATTAGTCGAAGAGTAAGATTGTGCACCTCTAAAAGTTATTTTCGACAGCACGGCTTCTCGAAGCGGTTGGAGCAAGGAGAATGTTTTTTAACAAGCTGAGCGGTCGAAAACATCATTTACAAGTGTTCGGAACTGGATTTAGGATAGCGCCGTAGTAAAGTAAATAGAAAAAGTAAAGTTGAATAGCAAATGTTTTGAATCACCGTACTAGTAGGCTATGACAAACACTCCTTGTTAGAATGAGAACAGATGCAGAACAGACATGAGAGACAGTATCAAACCATCACCGTGATTAGCTTTATAACAACACGTTATAATGTGATATATATAATTAATATGTACGTCGAAAATTATAGCGATGATGAACATAACGGGGTATAAAACAATGCGGCAGTCATAAATTGCTAGTTTAGAATAATTTAAATGCTTTAAACCCCGTTTTAAACGATTGATGATGTTTTGTACTTTCAATGACGATGAATTGGCAGAAAATAAACCATCACCTTGTAGAAAACAGTAAGTGTAATATGTGAAGAATATTGAAATCGTGCAATAAAAGAAAATCGTGCTATACACCCCCACTACTGTAGCCTACAGAATAAACCTATAGGAACTAAAATTCCTTACGTACATGAAAAGCTTTCAAGCTAAGAAATTAAACACTGTTATTAATCTAACTCCCCAGTGTTCTAACTATTCCGAGCGCAGTGTAATCCAACAGAATACAGAGTACACCCATTTTAAACTACCGTAGAAGCTCATGCCAACTGCCGGGTATATGTTTACAACGGTAGGTTTATAATAAGCGCTCTTATTACCTGGCTGGGAATGCGGTCGCTCTTGGGCCTTCTCAGCCGCTTTAGTGGATGTTCTCCTTACGACTACGCGTGTGCATGTGTGGACAACACATCGGTAAGTAACGGCCCTTTGTCACACGCGATACTCGATCGACTAACGAAACCGTGGCTCGACTCGAAAGACGAATCGATTTTGGAATTTTGGTTTAGTTAGTCGACTGAATAAGCGAATAAAAAGGGGACAAATAAATTTACACATAAAGCGGCAAGCGATGCCGTAAGCCTTTTTGGCTGTAGTGCATTATGTGCTTTTAATATTTTTAATATTATATTCTCAAGTTATCCTACATATGAAAATATTGACTTTTTTTTCTAAAATAGTGTTATATAATATTAAAATGCAAGCTGCATTCACCGGTTACGGTGAAAGTTAATGGAAGTTTCGTAATGAAGATCTGAATCGTTCTTGAATATTGAACAAAAAACATTTTGTTCGACAGTGCAAGAAGAAGACATTACACATGCGTGCTTACATTGCAATCCGATCAGTGTTTTGAAGTGATGTTAATTGTTTATTAAAAATATAATTTTGTCTGTGTTTTTGACTAACTAGCCGATTATATCGTAAAACATCCTAGAATACAATACAATTATTTGGTAAAAAAAATCGTGTCCTATTTTATTAAATATATATTTTATTGAAACTGTCAACGGCGAGAGCATTTGAATGTTGAAGTAAAACAAACTGATAGATCTTAGAAGAGTCCAGAATCGAGATGCAACACAAGAATTATTACTATTAAATTTTAGGATCCATTTAAATATTATAATAGCAAAAATATATATTTTTATTGCTATTTTAAGTATTTCACAATGTTTAAACACTCCCCGAATCATCTACAAATACCAAGTAGTAGTTTAGTATTTAAGACCTATTTGATAAGATTCTATTATTTTTCTATTTAAATATATATGTTTTCGTTGGCGAAGCAAAATTTCATGTTGGGAATATTCGATTTTTGTAATGTCGCTTTAATAATGATGGCCAAGATCAAGGTATTCGGGTCACCGCTCGATTCCATCAACCGTTTTCTCCTCGCCGTCGACATGATGTACCGAGGCAGTAAATCCTACGCTTATCAACCAGGAGCAATGCGAGTGTAGAATGGGTACCTTGCGGCTGCGGCTGCTCCTTCTCGGCCTGCGCGGCGTCGATGGCGTCCTGTTCGGCGGCGGCGGCCGCTGCGGCCTCGGCGGCTTCGCGTTCGCGGGCCTCGCGCTCTGCGGCCTCCGCCGCTTCTTGACGACGCTTCTTCTCCTTCACTTCGAACTGAAATGTACATTCAACGGTTAGTTTAACAAGTACATCGGTTTCCAATATTTTATACCTTGTCTATAAACGCTTAGTAGTAACTGTTAGCACGCAGCATATAAAGCGATTAGGTATGCTTGTCGACTTTGAACTGTCATCTCCAACTAAACGTAGATGTCGCAGGATCGGCCGGTGGACTAAAAAACCCTTACAGGACTTACTTCAAATAATACTACTTACTTTAAATCGACTTTAACAAAGTAGATACGATAAGAGATATCTTAAAATTAGTGAATACTTTACTGTGATACTTGATTAGACGTCTTCCACATCATTACCTAGCTGTAGTAACAAACTGAATTCGATCGTACATATATTCTCAGTTTATTAGAGTAACTAAAAGTGTTTACGCGCAAACTGTTTTAATAAGTAGAATATTTTTCTGTAAAAAAAATGTTGGTTGACTATTTTGGCCTCATCTGACGAACTTAATAAATATAAGGGACCTCGACAACTTGTTAATAAAAACTTACTTACTTGTTAATATAACTTAATTAATTATATATAATATGGATTTAAATTGTCAAAAGAAGATAGTGTTAAGATAGTCATTTCTAAGTTTTATGAAGGATAAATAAGTAAGTCCGTTTTTATGTTGTATAAAGATATACAGATTTGATTTGAAAACTTATTGAGATTTTATGTTCAGTTAGTTCAATCCAAAGCTCACGCGGATATTAGAGACATCATTTAAAATAGTAATAAAACATGCATGCATTAGAATTGCCCAAACCATTATGGCTATTAGACATTTAATTTCATATACAAGATGTACTAATTATATCTGGATTGAGAAAAAAATTTAGGAAATTTAGCAACACACATCCTGTTTAAAAGCGTTCTGGCTATGTGGGGTAAGTAAGGTATATTGAGAGCCGCACAATTCTCTTGATATAATAAAGTGGATAATAAAGAATTTTGTCTTCCGACTTCATTCATAATACCGAAAATTTGTTAGTATGAAGTTGAGCGTTATTGAACAAACACATACATAACAGCAGACTCCACACTTACACTATCCAAGTAGTTATAGTACCATGCACCTTCAGGGAAAAGGAGACTACGGGTTTGAGTAAGTAATAGGAGGGATGAATTTAGGGGGACTCTTTTGATCTCCTTGCCTAAGTCGTTAACAGCTTTTGAGCTGCTAGTCAAACCAGGGAGAGATAATACTGCCACTTCGCCTCTTACATCAGAATCCGTAAGCTTGACCTTTTTTGACCACTTCCTTAGCATGCGTTTAAAACTATTACTTGATTTTAAAGACGTATTACTCTTATGTTTCAATAACGTAACGTTGGGATAAATATTTAAGTAAGATAAACGTTCCCAAAGAATGAAATCTATACAAAGCAAGGAATCGTCAGACGTGTCTGACTGTTCGGGATATTCAAAGAAAACTGAACTGTATATGTCAGGGGATAAGGGTGAGTAAGGCGGAGAGGTTGTCGGAGTGCTTGACTCCGATATAGTTGAGAGGCTATTGTTGTTCACAACTGACCAAAGACACGAGTCATTTTTTTTAATCTGGTCTTTTCCAAAATTCAAAGTTAATACTCTAGCTTTTACTTTTTCAGGCAAAGGAAATTTATTGCTATCTATGATAATTTCTTCGACTATTTGGCTTACAGGTCGATCGGTTTGGTTAATGATTAGTTTAAGTGGTGATCGTGAATGAGGTAAAGGTGCGGGTTCGTAGGTAAAGTCGGATTCATCACATTGGTCCCAAGGCTGTGCATTAGGCCACAATGACGTCTCACGGAGTTCAAGCTAGTTGTGATAAGAAAATTTTTATTAGAAATTAATGGAAATCAAAACCCAAACAAGCAGTGACATAAGGCTTAGTACAATTACACTTATTAAATTATAAAATTGAAGAATGTATGTTATTTTGTGTGTTTGTCTTAAGACATGGCTCTTCCAAATGTGAACTTTACATAGCTTTGTACAATTATTATGCTTGAGTAGTTTGCTTGTGTAGTTTCTATAAGAAAATCTACACCACAGACAATTTGATGAAAACATACTGGTATGGCATAAGTATGTATTGTAGTGACCATATTGGTAGTTACGCTAGCACTATTTACATATTATGTCACGACAGTTGCTAACTAACCTATATTTAATTAAGATATGTAAGTAAGAGAATAATTTATCTAAACCTTGGTATATTTTGCTCTTCAATTTTATAATTAAGGTATTTAATATCTACACAAAGTTAGTTTTAATAGTGGAGAAAGTGCATCTTGAGTAATGAGAAAAAAGTTGAGAAATATTTCTAGTTATTATATATATTATAAATAATTTTATTATCAAGAGCTAAAGCTCTCAAAGGAGGCAGGCCTCTATCTATTTTTCGTCTTCGTTCGCCTTTGTCAGTCTCTAGAAAGTTGTATAAACTTACGGTGGTAAGCCTCTGCAATGCTGAGAAGCGATCCTCCTGAGCTGCAGCGGATTTCTCGAAGGCCTCGTGCTTCTTGATGAGACTTTCCACTTCGTCGATGGTGTGCCCCAGCTCTTGCGACATGAGGTAGGGCTCCTGCGCGATCAGCCACGCCTCCGCCACCGCAGCGTCGCGGGCGAACTGGTACACTTCCAGGACTGGAATACAATAATTTATTAGATCATTGGTATGCAGTATTGTTAGTGATAGAATCACTGGAATTATGACTGTGATTTTTTTCATAAAAGATGGTGTGTGTTATCTGAAAGGGATTTTACAATTGGTCTTAATACTGAAGAAGAATATCTTGGATCTTTGTTAGTACCTAATAACAAACTGAAAGAGCAAAGTTGAATAATTTATTGTTTAAAACAATATCTACTTTACTGTTCCAGTTTGTTTTAATGGAAAACTGAACAAAAAGTAGAAAAGTTTTGATTTTAGATGAAAAATAATATACTAACTGAGTTGTAGATTCTCCCAGCGCTCTTCCCATCGGCGTAATAGAGCATTGCGTTGGTTCGTGAGCTGCAGCAGTTTGTCCTTGATGTCGGCGGACGCGTAGTGCTGTCGCGCCAATAATTCGCGACCGAGACTTATGCACGCCGAGAAATTGTCCTCGCGGGTGTCGATTTCCGCCTTCAGAGATTGGTGGTTGTTCATGAGTAATTCTACACCGCTCACGTCGCTGTAAAAAGAATATTTCGAGTTTAAGCGACGGTTATATATTTCGGTAGGAACTAGTTTAGGTGCAGCCAACGGGCAGTACGTACCGCGGCTTCTCGCCGGTGTTCATCTGGCGCACGACGTCGTCCATCCAGAGCGTGAGCGTGCGCACCTGGTTGAGGAAGCGGTAGAGGTGGTCGGCGTCCTCCAGCTTCGTGGTCCGCGCCGCGCACGCCGCCGCCAGCGCCGCCCACGCCTCGCGCACCTCCGCCTCGCGCCGCGTGATCTCGGCCGCCTTCTCGCCCGCGTACATCGCGCCCAGCCGCCCGCACTCCGCGCGGATCGCCTCCACCTGCCACACCGCACGTTCACTACACTCATACTCACGATAGCGAGCCTATAGCCGTGGTTACCGCCATTTTCAAAATTAAGGATCAGAAAATTGGGAGCATATTGAAAAGTACTATTATTTACACCCTTTCAGTAAATGAAAGAAATAAGATATTGTAACTGAACCTGTACGAAAAAAGTAGGTCGGTACCGTACAGTCAAAACACGAGTTTTTAGTAACCGTTTACATTTAAAGTGCGAAGAATACATTAAGAGGTAGCCCACCTGCTGGTTAAGCGTGCTGAGGTCCTGCATGAAGTTGTGATGCTTGCGCTGCAGACCACCCACGCTGATGGCGTCCCTGCCGAGCTCGTCGCTCACTCCGCGCGCTTTCTCGTTCACGCGCTGCAGCGTGTCCTTGCAGTCGTGGAAATACTTGTGTAGCTCTCGGGAGGCGGCCAACATCTGCACAATTACTACAGATTACTAAAAAGTCTAGCAAATAAACTCTTTTCCATTAATCTCCAATCTCTTTTCCATAAATCTTTTATTACTTCATTTATTTTTTACGCTTTTCATCTTTTCTTACCTGTGTCCTGGTCTCGATAAGTTCGAGCAAATCTTGCCAGGTCTCCTTAAGTCCCTCCTTCCACTGAGCGATAGTGGCGTTATCGGAGTGTCCCATTGCGATCATCTGGTCGGCGATACGTTCGGCGGTCGCCACACGCTCTGAACCAACAGATTGTGTCTCGCGAGCGAATTCCTTGAAGCGCTCCCATAATAACTGCGTTTATAAAAATATTAAAGATAAAACTTTATTAATTGTGATTGAATTAGAATTTAAAAAAATAGTCATTTCAAATATCACATTTGCTGGCACTTTTTTATTAATTGGAAGTATATGAATGTCGAGCGTGATTAGAAGTAAATAGCGCTTAGTTATTATTCAAAAAAAGTTATTTAAATTCAGATGGCAAGTCGTCAAAATGTTTAGAACTAACAAAGTTTATCAAGTGACAAGTGTGACAATTTAAAAAAAAACAGTAACTTTCGATTAACAATTAGTACTGACCGTGACATGATCATAGTCTTGTCCAAGTTCCTGTGAGCTAGCAACAAGCTCCCGTTCGGTGATCCATTGCTCCAGGTCATCGACCTCGCGTGACAGTTGGAACAGTCGCAGCGCCTCGTCCAACTTGGCGCGCCGCTCGCCCGCCAGGTCCTTCAGACCGGCGTATAACTTGTCTACTTGTGATTGCTTCACGGAGATCTGTTCGCTGTTCACCGACAAAAAATAATTGCGATATTAACAATATGTTTAGAAACGTTCAATTTATATTTGTCCTATTTCTTCATAAACACTAACCTGAGCGGATGTTCATCGGCAGTAAGATGTCTCACAGTCTCTCCAAGTTGACGGATAGTGTGTGCGTAGTCGTCTACAGCCTGTTCCAAGATCTCGTGTTTCTTCATTAGGTTTTGTGCGGAGATCTCATCCTTGCCGCGGTCTTCCACCATCATGTACAGTTCTTGTTCGCTCATCCACGCTTCGGCCTCGTTAGCATCGAATAGATACTGTTGCGCCTTCTCCCATTGAGACAGTTTATTTTTGCGTTCCTCGATGGCATCTGTAAGAATTCACTCAAATTATTTTGTTGTCATTTTGTTACCAATATAAGATCCCTAAACATACTCGAAATCGAATAAGGCGTGTGTGAAAATATAAGGCGGTGTTAAAACTTGGCTCTAGTTATCAAGTATTAATGTAAACTACTGAAAAGAATAAAAAATCACCTTTCAATTCTCGCCATCTCGCCGTAAGTTCATCGATGAGCTGTTTGAACTCGGGCGAGGCCTCGTGTTCCTCATCGATAAGTTTCTGTCCATTGGAGATGACAGTCAGGATTCTTGGCTCATGGTTGTCAGTCTCAGTCTTCAAAGATTGATTCTTCTTTTGAAGCATTTGTACGTTGAATAGTGAGTTACCATAATCTGTGCTAGTAGCCAAAGGCATCTTCTCGTGAATCCATAATTTCTCATCCTCGACGTCGCGGCGGAATTGGAAGGCTTCCTTCTTCTTAGCCAGATGTCGCTGTCGCACCAGTAAGGGAGCCTTTAACTGCTCGAACCTCTCCTCAACCTTTGATTTCTTTTCTTTGATCTCCTCCATTTTATCAGGTACAGTCTTTTGTAAGTATTCAGCCTGAGTCTCCAGTTCGGTGACTTGTTTGGCCTTGACCGCCATCTGCGTTTCAATCATCTGTTGTTTCTGCATGAGAATATTGACTGAAGCGAGGTCGGTTCCAGTATCAGTATTTTCAATCTGCTTTTCGAGTTCGTTCATCCATGAATCGATGTCATCACAAGTCTGGTGAAGGAGAACTTCACGATTCGCATCAAACAGACGTTCGCCCTTCTCCTTTGTGGTCGTTTGCAGATTCTCAAACTGATCTTGGAGTTCACTCATCTTCGGTGAGATAATTTGAACGAACTCCGGTTTCTGTTTCATTAGTTCCTCAGCCGCGTTCTGTACGGCGAAAAGACGTTCCTTGTTAGCCGCAATTTCGGCTTCGAAAGCCTGATGGCGGGTCCATTTCGAGTGGATAGTCTTTGCAGAACGGTAGGTGTCGTCCTGGGCAGTGACATTCTTTTCTTGCACCCATTCTCCAAGCTCGTCGCAGTCCTGAAGGAACTGGTGTAATTGGAGTTGATCTTGTAGTTTCTCCATTTGTTGCAGTGCCTTTTCTCTGTTGGCGTTGCGGCGGGAGTCGATGTTTTCAGCCTTGCGTGCAATTTTGTCGGCATCGAAGTGCCTTTCTTCGACCAGTCGGTTGGCGAATTGTACGACTGAGTTGATTTTGTCGTCGTTCGCTTCCATGGTGGTGAGGAAAGCTTCGTGTTCCTTGATAGCGTTCTCTGCCTGCTCTAAGTTGGTTGGTGGCTCGGTCTTTGCTAGCCTGAGAATGAAGACAAATGCTATTGCAATATTAACAAGACACCACTAGACGACATATTATTTGTTACTATTAAAATGCAACATTATGAGTATGAAGAGATCGCAGTTGGATTCATCGACACCGAGCATCGACGTACCTGTGTTCCTGGTGCGAAAGCAGCACCTCAGCCTGGCTGGCGTCACGCTGCAGTAACTGCAACTCGAGGCTCTGCGTCAGGAGCTGTTGACGATTCTCCCACATCTGCTGCAGCTCAGCCCAGCCTTCGCGTAGAGCCTTTAGACGCTCGCGCAAGAACATGTATTGAGGATCGTCTTGTGTGGAGGGTTCCTAGAAAACAATTTATATTGTTCACATAAATGATCATCATCAGCTAGTTTTTAGAACTTGTTAACTTGAAATAACACCTGTTATCACAACCTGTGCTACCTGGTCGAAATATCAGGGCAATTCAAAGGCATATAACGCGAAACACTTACGGCAGTAATCTTCTCTCCATATTCCATCATCTTTGCGTACTCGTCCCTGTAATTGTCGATCTCTTCCTTGATTGTCTGGTGCTGAGACAAGAGCTTTTCGGCCTCCGCCAAGTTCGATGGAATGTCTGTAAATAAAAGCAGTGGCACTCCGGGAGTGCCGACAGAAGTGAAAACTTGTTTTCTTTTTTAAATTTTGACTATAACAGGAAAAAGCTTTTGTTTCTTTCGATTCTATAAGTTCCGATATGAATATATATCTATGTTGTACGTAAGTACACATTAAATGTTTATTTTATATATTATCAATGAATTACACGAGGTAAACGGGGCCAATATATGTAGATACTTATATACAGAGGTGTCGGTAACGGTAACAGTGTCGCGAGTTCAATGGTGTTTTCCCATCTCAAAAACACATTCTTTTGTTTTTTGTTCAAAAATGCCTAACGCGCCTGAAGAAGTTTTCATTTTGAAAAAAAATATAAGAATTGATAAATTCTTTTAAAATATTCAACCATCTTTTTTAATCATTACACTTAAGTATACTTTCAATGACTTATTTAGTAAGTAAAGTAATTTAGGAAAGTAAGTATTTATTTCAATTACCTTCTGATGCGACATCGGTCTGAGTCTTCGTAAGCCAAGCCTGGAAATGGTCCACGGAGCGAAGGAACCTGTGCAAGTCGCCAGCCTCCTCCAACTTGGCGTCGCGCTCTTTGAGCTGATGACAACAAACAAACATTAGGGAAGTAGTAAAGACTTTTATGTATGCTTCATTATCCTTTCAGTTACGGCTTTTATGAAAATTAAATTTCTTTGTGGAATTTTAAATCGAAAACCTTCGTTTTAGGATGATATGTGTCTCCATCATGTCTTATTTCATTTCTAAGAAAATTAGAACAAACCATAGTTTCTTGGCATTCTATACTTTTGATGTTTCTAAAGTATTTAATTTTTTTATCTTTTGCTATGAATATAAAAACAAATTATATTAAAAAGAGCAGATATCTAACCATCTGCGTGAGCTGGTCCCAGTTGTGCGTGATCTGCTGCACGCGCTCGCGGATGAGCTGCGCCTCCTCGGGGTGGTCGTCCTCGATGGCGCTGGCCTCGCTCTCCAGCGACGAGATGCGCGCCTGGATGGCGGCCAGGTCGCGCTCCATGCCCGACAGACGCCGCTGGAGCGTCATCACGCCTGGAAATCACCACGGTTCATTAATACCGCCACTAAACAAACATACGCAGAGTACTAACTTTTATTACTATGTACTCGTAATTGCATAGAAATATGCGAACTTATTGTAACTGAAAAAATATGATTCGTTACAAATAATGACTAAAGAAAAAACGTATCTTTCAAATCAGTAATGCGAGTATTATTACTTTATATCTGTAAATAAACAAACTGAACTGTGTTCAAGAGCTCTGCTACGGTGCAGAGCTCGTAAACACAATTCAACCACATGAATCGTAATACTTACTACCTACTACTAATTTTATTATTTAAAAGTGTGGAATGTTTTCTGAAACAAACTATAACTTCTTCTTATAGTTCACCCGGGCTTAGGCTTGCACATACATAGTTCATATGATCGCGATACGTAAAACTTATTCATCACAACATTAGGACATTAACATTCGAATGAAGAATTCTGCCAAAGTTTAACAATTCATTTATAAGTTCAAAGTGAAAAAAACATACCATTGAGATCCATCTCCAGGTTGTCGGTCTGTTGAAGGATCCTCTTCTTGTCTTCGATCCAAGACACAGTCTCGCGACATTCGATGTGGAAGGTCTGTACTCCCTGTGCGGACTTCAATTCGTCCTTCTTTGCTTCCGCCTAAACAAAATGTATAAATTATAGATTTTGCTCAGAAATCTACTTCATCTTTTTTTAAATTTAATAGTGAAGTTAACAAATTATTATAATATCAAGACTAGATACTAGCCGTTATAATTTAGTGTTTGTCATTTTTATGAGTGGGTTTTAGAATTCAGTTCTAGACATTTCATACGTTGTGCGAACTGATAATCAAAATTAATTTAAAATTAAATGATTTTAAAGTTATACCTTGTCCCTGAGCGAACTCCATGCTCCATTGAGGGCAGCCTGTCTGTCCTGAATCTTAGCGGCCTGAGGGTGCTCCACGTGGATCAGCTGCCGCGCCAACTGGTTAACGACAGCGACACGAGACGCGTTCGCATTCATTTCCTTGTCGAAACCATCGTATCTGGAATAAGAATCCATATTAATTCTGAGAAAGAGAGTTTTTAAACATCGATATTAATTATCTCTTAGTGAAAGCATAAGAAAACTGTTTTTTATAAACGGCTCCAGATAAAAGTAATGTGGTACCTGTGCTTCATAATCTCGACGTCATCGATGTCCTTGGGCGGCAGCATGGTGTCGAGCATGCGGTCCTTCTCGGCGATCCACTGGTCGGCGGCGTCGGCCTCGGCCAGCAGCTTGAAGAGCGAGAGCGCGTCCAGCAGGCGCTGCTTGCGCAGGCGCGCCAGCTCTGCCAGCTCGCCGTGGCGCGCGTCGATGGCCGACAGGCGCTCGCGCACCTCCGCGCTGTTCGCGTCCTCCGGCGACAGCTCCTGCGCCTGCGCACATCGAGAGGAACATTCTTTATTGTCATATGTGTCCTGGATGGGACTGAGGGCGTTCACAGCAAGTCTCCATTTGGATCGGTTCCTAGCCTCATGCCTAATATGGCTTTTGTTCGTCGACAAGTCAACGGCGGAACGAGCGGAAAATTACATATATAGAATAACAGTAGGGCAATAGCTCTGTCATGCAATAATACATAAATATATATATTATGTACTCAATTTTTTTTTAAACCAAAACTCGCCATCACTTCAGCTGTCGCTGTCACTTATGACACTAAATTATATTAAGGTATGTAAACTTTTTTTCCCCTAGAATATACTTTTGTATAACATTCTTACCATGTATAGGGAATACAAGTTATGCCGTAAGAATAAAACCTACCTGTTGCTTGAGTTGCTGGATGACATTAGCGTAGTTCTTAAGCTCATCGGTGACGTCCTTGTGTTTCTTCAACAAACTCTGCACCTGAGCCTCATCCACGCCGGTGTCTTCGGACGAAACCAATCTGTAGAACGAATATTTTAGTTTTATCCACACGAAGTTGATATTACCAAGTCTTCATAAAATTTCACTCGTACTAATAAATACAACTCTATGTGTAATAAGAAGATAGGTAAGTATTTTAAATACAAGTTTACTCGTTTTTATCCTTAACAAAAAGTAAATACGTACCGCAAAGTATCCAGCATCCAGTTGTCGATGTCATCGGCATCAGCAAACAGTTGGTGGTATCTTACCGCCGCATCTAGACGGTTCTTGCGCAAAGACACCAAGTCCAATAGATGGTTCCATTGGGACAGGATGTCACGAAGACGGTCCTGGTGTAAATAAACATAGTAGTGGTTACAATTTGCTCTTTGAAATAAATAAAAAAGATTAACATAACTTACTTTAAACATTTTATGGCAATCCAGAAACAGACTAAATGTATTTGAAAATAATTTAAAGTCATGACATCAAATGCTAAAACAATATTAGATTTTTATGCTTGAGGGAAGTTAGTTACGTAAAAAAAGTTAAGTAAGTAAATACCTGTATCCTGTCAGCTCCAAAGTGTCCTTGCGAGATGAGCTCATCCCCGACCGCGGCCACACCCATGAGTTGTACCTCGTGGGCGAGAACGTCCGCTTCCAGAGCCTTGTGCTTCGATATTAACAAGTACACTGTAATGAACAATTCATTATAAGAAATATTATATAAGCAATATACAAGAGAAGTAGGACACGCTTTAAATAATGAGACTTGGTGGAAACGAGTGTGAGATAAGTGTCAAAGTTTACTAACAAAGATTAGATGATACTGACCTGTAGTAAGATCATGTCCAATGTCATCAACAGAGACGATCTGTTCCTTCTCCTTAATCCAGTTCTCTTCGTCAGCCATATCCCAGTAGAACTGCCACAGTTTACGGCTGTCCTCCAGGCGCTTTCTATTATGACAAATAAAGATATTTACAACAAAAAAATGCAAATAGAATAACAATTTAATTGCTATTTATCTAGTGTGTATTTAAGAATACCGACCTCCTTTCAACAGCAAGATGTACGAGTTCAGCGTAAGCGTTCTCGAGTTGTTGAATACGTTCAACTGTGATAGCAGGATCGCACGGACGGTACCCGCCTTCTTCCTGTTCTAGGAACCGCTGCGATTGGCCGACTACCACCTGAGGAACAACCATATCATGTCAACTATACTTTGCCTCATTCAACTCTACACTGATCAAGGATACAAGGTCTACACTGGTTTTCTTTATTTAAAATATAAATTATTAAAATAAAACATTTTATAAGATTAACTTTTATAACTGGAAACTATTATTTAAAAAAAAAGAGCCCCAAAGAGCATTTAAAATCAATTAAAATTGGAGAAACGCACCTTAACTCGCTCGCCAAGCACATTAATGTCAGCTTCAACAAGCGCGTGCTTCTGCAATAGATCCTCGACGCCCATCAGGTGTTTACCGTAGTCGTCGGTCAGGAGACGCATCTTGATCTCTTCCATAGAATCCAGGATGTATAGCATCTCCTATAAAGACAAGATATCATATCATGAAATCCGAGTAAACACATAGCACACGCGTTAATAGAACACGAATTTCCTTTTGACGCGTAATACTCAATGTCTCTGAGGAGATTAGGTATTTTGTAGCCCAGAAATAAATAGAAAGAAATAATCTCTCAAGATAAAACGAGAATGCAAACGATAATGATCTTGTAAGTTACACTGATCTGAAAGAAAAAAAGAAAAATATATTTTCTATTTACCTGGAAGTTCTGTTGCAGTTGCAACGAAAGTTCAAGCCTAGCACGTCGCGCCCGGAGCAATTCGAGCAAGTACGCCCATAAACGCAGAACGTTATCGCGACGGGCACACACACGCTCTATATCATGATACCTGGTGATAGAATACATTTATGTTGTGAGTTATTATTACAATGTAAATTTCTTTATCAAAAATTGGCAGAAAAATTCTACAAGGTAAAAAAGCTAACTTTAACTAACCTCTCTGCCTGCAGTTCGGAGCATACCGCCACAACTGCCTGGACTCGTTCTTCGTAGGCAAAGATGTCAGTTTCAATAGCTTCATGTTTCTTCGCCGCCGCCTCAACAGCAGCGAGGTCGAAGCCGAAGTTGTCCTGGCTGACGAGGCGCTGATTCTCTGACAGCCAAGTCTCACGCATCTGAGCTTTGCGGTTGAATCTGTCAAAAATTAAGATAATAGGCATAAAAGTGACTTAATAGTTACATGTCTTGAAGAACCTAGTCTAGTGTGTAATAGTGCACTGAGGCTATTGTTGTATCAGTAACGGTGTTAAGCCAAGTGAAATTTTAAAGTGACTATGTTACGTTTACATTACTTTCAAACATTGGCACACATATGATTTCAGTTAGATTTTTAGATCAGATCAGATATAAACTTGACACGAAAATAGAAAACCATTTTTTTATTGTTTTTACCTGGCAGCCAGTTGTTCAAGCTTCTCCTGTCTGATCAGCTCCTCTCTAAGCGCCAGCTCCCTCTCGTGCTCAGCCTTTTCTAGTTTTTCCCACGCACGGTTGATATCATGGATCATCTTGCCCTCTCGAGGAGTGTACGGCTTCTGGTTAGCCGCTCGCATGCGTGACTGCAGTGTGAAGAGTAGCACTTCCAGATTGCCCTTCTCCACGAATCTTTGGAAGTAATAGTTATGTTTTGATAACAGTGCTAGTTGCCAGACAGCAATCAATAATAATTCATGTTTTAATAAGGCATTCTTTATTTTGCCGGCAAATTGGACTAGGTTGACAGTTTACAAAATAAAACAATATTACCTATTCAAATATTTCTATAATAACTATAATAATGTTCGGTATCGACGATCTATTACTTACTTGGGTGGTTTTTCGACAGTACGGTAGTTGGAGAACTGTATTAGTTGTTGACGAACACCCTCCAGTGAGTTCGCGAATGTTCTGTCACCGAGAGCCTCGATCGTACGCTCGATCCATTGAAGCAGATCACTGTAACATACATAAATACTTTTATTTTATAGGTGAAACACTATTAAAGAGTTCGAACGCTGTCATGCATTAATAGTAATATAATATTAGCTAAATTACACGACAAACATTAAGAAAATATCCATGTTTACCTAGTGAGCGATTCATATTCATGCATCATTTTTTCATTCTCCATGGCAATACCCACGACCTTGCCAATTCTCTTGCCTTGCACAGTCTCCTGCTTCATCTTGCTGAAGTAGTGGTAGTACGTTACCACATAAGTGATGATTGACTTCTCATCGGGATGGTCAACAGCAATATCTAAAAATTACAATTTCTAATAATAAAGTTGTCCTAAGAGAGTAGTTACTTGTGCCTAAAGCGTAACCTATTAATTAAGTATTTACACAGCACTACTAGTATCGTATTTCTCCTGGTTAACAGGGTCACCAATAGCAATCAAGTATTGTTTACAACGCCAACAGTTAGTATTTTACTTATATTATTATTTTATATTCTGGTGTGAACAAACGGTCACCCATCTATGGACTGGTCTGTATTAATCTTAGGAAAACGGACGGAAGTCCGTTCAAAAGTTTTAGAAAAATTTGGCGCAATTTATTGCATCGAATTGATGCACTTGATAATTAAAGATTATATAATTAAAGAATAAAATCAATAATGTGCCAACCACGTTAATAGTCTCGTTTGGAAGAGATTTTTTTACCAGGCTATTGTTTGGCACTTATATATATAAAAAAAAATCGCTGGTTTGTAAAGTTTAAATACGTTTTCTCCCAGACGGGGTTTTTGTTTTGTTTTTCAATAAAGGTCTTGTTAACCGGTCTAAAAAGTAAAGCGTTAATAGAACATACCTTCGGCGTCCAAAAGTTTGGTAAGACCAAGTTTCTCCTCGGCCACATTGAAAGCGTTGTTTAAATTATGCATCGGATTACTCCTGTGCAGCTTTTCAAACTGAATCAGATCAGGTCTGTGCTTGTGGATGATGGCGTTGAAGGCCAACCCATCACGCCATGAGGTCGTAAAGTTACGGACATTGACATTGTTATAGCCAGCTGTTTTCATTTGACACCACAGAAGTAAAGCATCCTTAGCGGATTTTGTCTCTTTGTTGTCTGTCTCTTCGATGGTGATGTCTTGAATCTAGAAAGAATACGGAAACTTATTTCAGAGAGGCACGATTGGTGAAACCTCACAAGACATCTCAAGTCTAAGATACTCGAGTGAAACAATTGAATGCGACTACAAATGTGTTGACTACAACAATACAACTTTAGTCGGCAAATCACCCCAAATTTGAAAGTATTCCTTTTAATGCATATTCAATATAATCTTAATCTACTGATTAAAATAGAGTTTTGTCTCTTATTACAATAAATTTAGATATTTAGCAAATGTGTTTTTTTGGACCCACAGTTGCAAATTGCACAAGGGTTTTTTTGCAGCCGCTGTTTTATTATTTTCAATCGCGATTTCGAAAGAGCTAAATATATTACAGTGTACCTGGAATCGCAGGATGATAGTCCATATGAGACCAAGACTGAGTCTTGGGTTGCCGTCGACGATGTCGTGCGAGCCCATGTTCTCCAAGTGCACGCGTTGCTCGCGCAGGAACTGCAGCGCTTTGTCCACGTTCTCTAGGCAATGGATACGCATCTTGCCCTTTGTTGGACGAGGCTGCATGCACAAAAACAGTGATCATCATCAACAGCCTTTAATAGTCCACTGCTGGATATGGGCCTCTCCTGAGAAATGACTTTTTGGCCTACTATACCACGCTGGCCAGACGGGTGATATAAAGTTTGGGTCATTCTCATTGCAGTGCTTGCAATCAAAAACAGTTTTAATATTTTTTTGTTCCTTATAGCAGTGTTATGATGTAGGTTATAGATGTTTAAGGTGATCACTTAATATTTAGAATTTATTCCTTATATCCTTTTAAAAAGACGTTGAACCGACTTCAAACAATACTAACAAAGAGCACTAAAAACCTAGCAGCAATCGCGGTTGATTTAGAATATATTATATATATGTATCTGTTTATATTAAGATATTAGGTTAAATCGATTATTAACATTTCCCATCTAGTTATCTATGTTAATTACAGTCAAAAACTGGATAAAAGGCTCAATCTTTGTTATTTATCAATTAATTAATACCATCATATAACATAGACGGCTCTTTGAATGCAGAAAAAAACTATTTATCAAAAGATAACATTAAAAATTCTCTTTTTTTTTTAAATTGAATCATTGACATTCATCTGTATTTGTGCATCATTCGATGCGTGGTCATGATCAGAGCTTGTAATCTATAGAGATCTTATGATGAAAGATGATAGCCGAATGATGTACGTCACGACTGACGCAATACGACACGAATCATGATATATAAATATAGAAGCGTTCTATGTTGAGTAATTTTCTCGTTTGAATGAAAAGTTTATGAGTAATGGTATCGATAAGAACTGCTAAAGAAAGTAAAATGGCATAACGGGGAAACTTGGCAGACACTTTACTGGATATATTGTTGTTATCATTGTAGATAAAAACTAGTGTGTAAATTGAATCACGTGGGTCGTTAAGCGTTGCTAATTAAAGTTAGAGTTTACATCTAATATCTCCTTTGCAATCATAAAGCATATAGCCAATCAATAAATAAATAACGCAACTCTTAAAAACCAGGTTAAAATACGAGGGGTGATCAATAAGTAATGATAATCGAGTATTTCTAGAACGCACAAAAACCCAAATTATTTTTTTTCTGCTTGCTTATATATCCACTACTTCAGCTTCAAAAAAAAGTATAAATAGGACACCATTACCGGGAGATACATTCATTTGAATACGAACTGTCGAAGAGAAAACATCAAAATGGAGAAAAATGAAATAAGAGCTGTCATCAAGTACCTCTGCCTGAAAAAAATGTCTACCAAAGACATACACAGCGACTTAGAGGAAACATTGGGGGAGTCTGCTCCTCCATATTCCACAGTCGCACGCTGGGCAAAGGAATTTAAGCTGGGCAGAACCTCCACTGAAGATGAACATCGCGAGGGACGCCCTTCCACGTCCCTTACTGGAGAAAACGTCAAAAAAGTGGAAGATATCGTGTTGGCCGATCGAAGGGTGACCGTAAGGCATGTAGCTGAGGTCACAGGTATCTCCTATGGCAGCGTTTAAAAAATCATTGTCAACAAAATGCATATGAAAAAGGTCTCTGCGCGTTGGGTACCGAGAATGTTAACCGACGAGCAAAAAAAGAAACGAGTCGACATTTCGAGGGTGAATCTTCAAAAGTTCCAGGCCGATAAAGAATTTTTTTTGTCGCGTTTTGTGACCATGGACGAGACCTGGATCCACCACTTTGATCCCGAAACCAAACAACAATCAATGACTTGGAAACGAGCTTCCTCACCAACGCCGAAGAAATTCAAAGTGTCAAGTTCAGCGGGAAAGGTTATGGCGTCTGTTTTCTGGGATGCAGAAGGAATTATTATGGTGGAATATTTGGAAAAGGGGGCCACTATAACAGGCTCTTACTACGCAGGCCAAATAAGAAGATTGCGAGAAGCTATTAAGTCAAAAAGACGCGGTAAACTGCGCGCTGGAGTGCTGTTTCACCAAGACAACGCCCCGGCTCACAAAGCCGCAGTTGCGATGGCTGCCATTGAAGAAACGGGGTTCGGACTGCTCGAACACCCTCCCTATTCGCCAGATCTAGCTCCCAGTGACTTCTACCTCTTTTCTCGGCTCAAAGAACACCTCCGGGGCAACAAATTTGAGGACAATAGTGAAGTGATGGCCGCAGTGGAGGCATTTTGGGAGGGTCAAGACAAAGAATTTTTTTCTAAGGGAATCATGGGCTTAGAAAAAAGATACACTAAATGTATTAACTTGCAAGGAGGCTATGTTGAAAAATAAAATACTTTTTTTAATCTAATAGTTCTGTTTCATATTGATTATCATTACTTATTGATCACCCCTCGTATATTAGTTTAATAAATGAGACTAGAGAGTAGAACTCGTATTTAAATAATAAAGCATTTCATCCAATTTAATACAAATGATAAAAAAAACCTTAAGACGATTTCAAGAAATTAATATAAGATATCACTGAATAGTTTTATCAACATCATTACTAACGACAGTTGGTAAGGTCTAATTATTGATAATAATGAGAGCCCTGTTACTTGAACAAATATTTATTTTTATTAATTATTATTTTAGATCACAGGGCGACCTTTACATTCACTTTTTCAAATGTTTGTACCTATAAGTCAAAAATATTTTTAATTGACTTTGTCGAAAGTTAAACCACTGGTTCGAAATCAATATTATCTGCAATACATACCAGGTTAATGGTTATTGTCCATCATTGCAAGAATTGTTATTGTTACGTTATTGTAGAAAAACGCTGTCACAAGATAACACAATTGACCGCTTCTAAAGCATTATCAACAGCCTTTAATAGTCCACTGCTGGACATAAGCCTCTCCTTGGAAAGGAGGTTTTGGCCTACTGCAAGCTTCTAAAGCAACCCTACAAAACATTTTTTTACTCAAATTATTTCACCCGCATGTGTAAACGTTTACGTTTAATTTACGTTTTTAAATTTTCTCTAGGCAGAGACAACTTCTAAGTGGGTCTAACGGTCAACATTGCATACTGGTTGATCCCTTTATTTTTGTCTAGTAAACCTCTACAAATTTCAAACTAGGGCACGATGATGTACCCACATCATGTATGGTATAATTAACCCATTATGAACGCATGGTGTTTCGTCTGGGGGGCTAGCCCTCGGCTTAACTATTAACCTAATATGAAGCCAAGTAAAATACTGTTTATCCTGCTTGTCTCACAGAAATTATAGAAGTAAGTAATATTGAAATAAGTTTTTTTTTTTTCATTGTCAGGGAGACTTTTGAATTTAAATACAAGTCTGACTTTTAAACAATAAAATAGTGCTAAATATGTAATATTCCTCCCACTTCGCTTCATCGTGGCTCTAGTAGTCTCATTTCAAATACATTTGGGCTTCGACTTCGCCGTGTCTGGTTAAATTCCGGTTTAGCTGGTCGGAGCACAGCCATTGTTTATTTTTTATGCTCTCGCGAAGTTTCCAAAGTCATTGGCATTACACTGTATCCCAAGGAAATTCTATATGACAAAATAAACTTAACAAAACAATTATGTATTACAATTAGTAGTATCCATGTCACTCGAATGTTAATTTCGACGAATTTTAACTAAGTTGCTGAAAATTAAGGGACTCAGCAATGTACTTAGTATGTTAAAATGAATAATATAGTAGAACATTTAGGGTTTTTTTCTATAAATGTTTACCGATTATGATTTCTTGTATTGACTTCTAATATTCAACTAAATTCGGAAAACTAGAAAGAGAAAGACAAACACTTACCAGCAACCCACTGGTGACGTAAACGTAGTTATAAAATGTAGCCACTAGCCAAGTTATAAGTACATAAATAGCTAAAGTAGTTTTACGATCTCGGTCCAGTTAGCTACTTTCTTTATAGGTTTCTTTATAGTTAAGGTCCATGTGAACGTAAACTTGTAAAGGTTGCTCTCTCCTTTCGCGTTTACTGTATTTGATATTAATAAATGATATTATTTCATGCCACGAATGATCTTTTTGTTGCAATTTATGCTCTGACGTTCGAAATCTAGACGGATCGCTATTGTAAACAATCAAATAACATTAAAATCGAGCTTACAGATGATTAGCTGGACACATCTTGGGATGTTATGATAGTAAAAATAGAATTGAATAAGTTTCGATTCCTAAAAGCTTTTAATTGCATCTGAATACAAATTATTATCATCACATTTAGCATGATAGTTAGTCGTAAAATGGTTTCAACAAGTTTTTGACCAAAACTTTAAGATGAGCGTGTAAATAATTCTTGAACACTACATCTAAGTCTATTACATGTTTGGCAATATGTATATGTGTTGTAACGTTTCCTAATTTTGAATATTTATCTTGGAATTCGTTAGTAGATTTGGAGGGAGTCAAGGAATTACATTGTAGCTATTTTGGCAATGACGTCACCGGAAACCATTAACCGGTAAGTTTAATCGAATGAACCGCTGGAACTATTACTGTATAGATAAAGCATAAAGAACAACAGTTCATATACTGTAGCAGTTCTATGAATGCTCTGTAAATATACATACACTTAATTACACAATAGATGCAAAATCACGTATTGAAAAATGTAATCTCCTGCCTTATGTTTTATCATTCTACCAGTTAATGGGCTCTGGAATATCTTTTCAGTAGCCGAGTGAAATTGCATGTTTTACACCTAAATAAATATTCACATACCAGTCTTTCTCCAGAGAGCACCTCGAGCAACTTGATGAGCTGTTTGCCATCGCGCATATCTACATACAGGTCGCCGATACGGCACCCGACGCGAACTAAATGCGAGTTCACCCATTTTTGAAAAGTTTTCTTTTGCACACTTTCTCGTTCGTCTGTTAAAAGAAAAAAAAATATTAGAACTGAAAAAAAATTGCGGAAGTTAGTGGAAAGGAAATCGTTTGTAATCCGAGGCAAGAGCTGCTAAAAACGGACCTAAGTCTGTAATCAAGTAGTAAACATAACAGATACTCATAAAAATAAGAAGGAAACTACAGTAATAAAGTAAGGAATGTTAACACATTAACCGCCAGTGAGGGCAACCACGAAGCGGCGACCAGATAGGTGGTTTAGCCGAAGAAGTCTTCGGAGAGCCTGGCTGGCCTACCTCTTCGCCGGCTGACATCGTAATAACTTCAACTAGAAAATACTGGAGTATTGTCTTCCAAGGTGTTCGGTTCAGAAAATAATATGTGTAATTCGAGATGCAGATCAAATAGCATTCGCACGCTTTAGAGCGAAACAGTCTAATGTGCAGGTTGATCTCCAGGATTTTTTTTATAACACTTTAATTTGTCGAAACTACCTGAATTACTGGTTTCTATTTATAATCAGTATTACTAAATATTAATTTAATTTCACAAAATTGAGAAAAATTATTGATCCAGAAAAACAGCTATATTAATAAATCGTATTATAATGGTTTACAATCAACATCATATCTATATTTAAATGGAGTAGTCACATTGCCAGTCACAAGGAGGAAAATTAAAGACGCACAAACAGGTATTAGCAGTTTCATAGTGTTGTGAAGTCCCATTTTTTTTTTTATTCACTACTCTGTTACAGTACTAACCACATATTTCTTCATTTAACACAAACGTTTATCTTCTTAACGCAATCTTAAAATAATAACACGGGGCCACACAACACGCTACCAACCTCTGAGTTCGTTCACAACTTTGTCATAATAAACTTCTAATCCGGGCACTTCTGTATCGACTCCTTTTTTTATTAACTCGTATGCTTCTGTGGATGTCATGACGCCAACGCCGAGAGGCGACTGAACCAATAGCACCAGGCGAAAGACGGGAAGAATTAGAGCGACAAAATTCAACAGCCACGGGACAAGGATATTCGATATCGTTGAAACAGATGTCGACAACTCTTGGGCAGGTTTTAATTATTAGCACACACGATTACGCTAGTAACAATGGTTACACAGCCTGTAATCTACTAAAATTGAAAACACAGACCAATTTTGACCAAACATGACGCCTGGTTACCCGTGAAATGTGAATTGTGATTGGATACAGCAGAAGATTCGGTTGAAAAAACAGATAACAACGATAACGACATGAAATATCGAATAATAATAGATTTTGTAGACAGTTCATTCACAGGGCGTGTTTGAACTTACATAATGTTTAATAATTTTGACCGATGGTTTGTGACACCGGTATTTTATAAGGAAAAATAGATGGCGAGCTCAATGCAAATGATTGATAAATCCCATTGGTTTATAAATACATGAAATATAAAGCACGGTGAAGATTTTCTGTATAGTGAACTCGTAGCAAGATTAGGAGCCCCGTTTTACTGAATCAACCTTTTAACTAATTTCCTCTGATAATCATTCTTGAGATTGTCTTGGTTGTAAAAGTTGGTTACGGCCTTATAATGTACCATACAAGAATTATGCATTACATACATATGACTTGTCTTGTCATTAATACGACTTGTTAGTTATTATTAGTTACTTGCTTTAATTTTTCCATCCTTTAGAAACGGTTTTTTTTCTGCATTGAAGGTATATTTTGTGTTGCTCCGTATCCTTAGCAACGTGAATGCAATATTTCACGATGATTCGATAAACAGCATGGCAGCGCTTAAAATACGAAGAAACAAACATTGATGTTATTTATTCAATTGACTTTTTCTCTTAGAGCTCTTAGAGTATGCTATACTATTATAATCATCTCTAGTCAGACATATAAGAGACAGACATAACGAGAGAGTATAAACGACCTATAATGACAAATTCCCCTAATGGTAAAGAAAACAAAGTTTATTTAAACACATAATGGTGAAGTAGGTACCAGTCCACATTTCTATATCAATATCGCTTACTCGAATGGAATCTTATCAATTGGACCGATAAGAAGTTGACATATATTCGTTGACGAATACGAGACTACGTTGTAGAATGCTCTTTAAGAATCATAAAATTGTTTTTGTTTATTTGATTTTTATAAAAATTGTTAAAACAAATCATCATCATCAAAAACATAAAATCTTAAAAAATAACACAAAAATAAAATAACTTAAATGGTGCATAGCGGCGGAACGCGGATGGAACAGCCGGAGAATGCGCGCCAACGCGCTGTCGGTGCCGTTCTGCCTAAGAAGACTGATCGCACCAAAAGTGTGATTGAATCTGGGTGTTCGTTGTGTCCGTTTGAATGAATGTTTGTAAAGTCCCCCGTGGCACAGGATATATTTAAGAGGAACCCTCTCATACCGGGAGGATACCGGATCACCGGGAAAGGATGATTCGGAGATCACTTGTGTCTGATCCGCAAAGACCAAACGCCTGAGTGCCACCACTGCGATGGCCGGACCGTGGACACGGCGCTCCACACGCTGGCAGAATGCCCGACGTGGGTGGAGCAGAGGCGTTGCCTCATGGCGTCATCGGAGTGGGAATTCTCTCGCTCGGTAACATGATTGCCGCCATGGCACGGAGCAAGAGTCCGTAGAACTCCACCGTCTCCATCTGCGAGCAAGTCATGCTTGCAAAGGAAATGGCGCAGCGGGACCGGGAGAGGTTTAGAACTCTCCCGGTGCGCCAGGCCCGGCAACGTGTCAGGTACCGCAGACGATTCAGGCGCTGGAGATCGCAGAATGATCCGTCCTCCATCAGCACAGGCCTGGGGGTAGTACTCGAAGGTGAGGCCATGTGTCACCCTAGCTGAAGCAGGCCAGGGTGGTGGCGAGACGCGCTGCGTAGAGCGCCCTTTTAGGAGCACAAAGGGGACATAGGGGTCCCACACAGGAGGGGCTCAGGTGGGGTCGGGTTCGAATCCGACATAACCACCGGCGGGTGGTATCCGAGGGCATTTCAGCATAGGAAAAAATAAGGTAACCCGCAAATAACCATGTAAGCATGCAAAAACTTAATATTTTGATATTACAAACAGACACTAATTTTATTTATTTGTTTTGATATATCTATATCAATAGCATAGCACAGGCTCTGCCTAGTTTGGAATAAGACGGCCGTGTGTGAGATGTGTGAAGTTATTATTATTATTTTATGTATGTATAGAGTTATTGCCAGATTCTCACCTGCTAGCGCTTTGATGCGCGATCGTTCGAATAGCCTCGAGGACGAATTGCCGCCATCGTACTCGAACTCGTCGATGATCTCCTGACCATGGCCGATGGACGGGTCCCACCGGGACACCGATATGTCGGTCGTCATGGCGACCAACAACTACCTCACCACGCCACGCTCAACTATCTGAAACAAAGTAATAACAGACATTAATATCATGTCAATATTATCTTAAGACTGTGGGTATAGATTATAATATAATTTAGGAACCAAATCTGCAAAGATGGTTTATTTAACTCCTTATGCTGTCAAAAACGAGACATCAAAGAAACAAATACTAAAAACTGTAAAATCCGAATTAACTGGCTTCTGCTGATTTTGCCTATTCAATCTGTTGCTCGTGACATTTAACATTAGTGTAGGTATCATATCATTAGGTAGGATATCTGCAAAGGTGTAAACAAATGACTAGCACCTTGCCTAACGACCTTGCCTAAGGACAAACATTCCTAATTTGTCCATTAAGGACGGTAAAGACGTCTATATATTTTGTAGCATTCTATTTATTTAGTATCCATTAGGTGGATGTAATGTCATGAGACGTAAATGAATTACGACAGGATAAGAGTAGGCTTTCCAAGCCTGTGAATCACTGACTCTGACTTCCAGTGCACTTATAGTTCAGGGTTACTGTTTACTGGCACTGGAAGCTTTTCGGAGCTGTGAGGAAAAAAGGTTTTAATATATAAATATTTAGTTTTGGTGGAAAAGACCCACATAATAGGAGAAAGATTTCTTCTCTCCTAAGTAATGGTTCTGTCGATGACTAATCATATTCTTCGACTTCTATTTTTATAATTATTAACTTGATCATTACCACTTCGCCGAACTTTCGTCATCATGATATCACAAGAACTAAAATAGATCTGGCAATTTTTGATAAATCGATTTAAATAATGTAAAAAATATCACATAAGGCTTTGCTTTACCTTGAAACTACTTCATTAGATTTCCAACTGTACAAAAAGTATACACTTAGCTGATATCAACTGTCTACAAGACCTTGAGAACTGAGATCGTTATTTAAACAAGATGACCGTTTCGTACTATTACATAACGTTATTTTAACACGTTTACTATTTATGGACTTGTATTTATTTATTTCTATGCGCAAATATCACTAATAATATTTTATCACAAATAGTCTCGCATTGAAAAATGTTACAATATTAATCAATAGATAATTAATTACCTTGTATTCCACTTTCAAACTTTTAATTACCTTTGAAACAACACACACAATTTTAATTATTAAACACGGGATTTTTCACAATCTGCAGTGGCAGAGTATGCAGTATTCTATTGAACATATTTTTTGTTATTTCAAATGACATCATCATACTCGGCGGTCAACGATAAGATTAGATAACTGCTTTCAAGACTAAAAGCCACGCCTAAAGTAAGTCGATGTGTCGTTTTGTTCGAACTAGAACATGATAAAGAGGAATACACATAATTATATGTTTTATAAGAACTAAACGCTTAGGCTGTAGGTTATGTTGTAGGTATGTAAGTTTAAAGTGCAAAAAAATGTGATGAACCCGATAGGTATTAAGTATTTTCGTAATTTTATTTATTAAAAACACTTTCTCATCCTTAAATACATTTTATGTAATTAGGCAGGAAAATGATTGACTTAGCAACGTAGATTATGGGGACTGTTATATGCACTTCCGTCAAAGACTTAATTAAAGATAATATAATGATAATTCTCTCAGTGTTCCGCTAATATCCCTAGAAGTATTTCTCATACTTTAACACTTCAGAAGTGTGAGGAATGTGCAATATGGCGAGTTACGAAATTATAGCTGTTATGTGTAAACAGGATCAATAACGTTGAGGTTACGTAAGTAGCGTCTTGGGGTGACTCATCATTTCATTTCTTGCGAGCAATCCTCAACAATCCAACACACTTGTTTATCAATAAGGCTATTATACACGAGCAATTTATGCTCATCGAAGAATTATAACACAAATCACTGTCATAATGTCAATTGACCCAAGACAAATATGCAAATCAAGGTCAGGTTGAATTTACTGACAGGAAAATAACTGACACGACAACAAATTTCCAAATATGTTTACGGTTTCGCAAGAGATAGGTACGGCCAAAATTGGTTCCACAATTTTATTAAAGACGGTGAGTTAACTATTTCAACTGTGCAGATTCGAAACCTGATTTACATAATTTAGATAGACTAATCGGTAAACATGTTCCTTATTCCAAAGTGACAAACAAGTTCAAGGCCTGTTAAGGTATAATTAAGTACGAAGACTATTTATACTCGCAAGATCAGGGATATCAGGAGTAACAACATGATAGTAGTGGTAGCATACTGTTTGGTGGGTGGATTAGTCTAATTTAATCTAATCGTTTTAAAACTTTATATTTAAATACAATTTTAACTTCAAACTTATGGATTGCACCTAAAAACCGCTTTACTAGTAAATCAGGTAAATGATAGTGGATTTCACGGTAATAATGTATCTACGATTTTGTTCACCAGTGAGTACGACCTTCTCGCATAATAGGTCTGACGTTAACGAAGGTTCCACGACTGCCTACTAATTGAGTCATTTAACAATAGAACTGTATGCCGATTATGTTTCGATAAATGATTCAAGTATGTTAAGATGATGCTTATATAATATGTCCACATTGACTAGGCAAGAAATAATACTGGATATAGTCCAGCGATTTTCCCTTAACTCATAATTTAATGTCTGTATACTATGAATCCTTTTAAAAAAAGTTGAACCGACTTTAAACAATACTAACAAAGAGCACTAAAAAACTAGCAGCAATCGCGTTTGTTTTGCTGTCATTTTTTGAAGAGTTCCGTTGTCTGGCTCCGAAACTTTAAATGGGACTATTTCAGAATATATTTTTTTTTACAAATCCGTCTGTACATACATGACGAAGTTATGACCGAACATACATAAAAAAAATAACATCCGAATTTATAAACCGCCTTTTTGAGGTCGGTTAAAAATAAATATAGACTACATTATATTTTAGTGTAAAGTATACACATTTATTTGCAGGTATTCCAATAAAATTCACATTACAAATTAATGTGTCAATTTACAAATTACAAATTAATGTGAATTTTATTTTGGCAAAAGTATATAGATATAAACACGCAAGCGAGCGAGCAGCAGACTGGGAAACTTTTTGAGAATTTTGTACTGACTGAACTACGTTTACGGATTAATCTAGGTGCTATCTAAGTGCTATATAGATTTGACAACAGCAAATTACGAAAATTCCTTATCATTCCCATATTAAGGAATTAGAACGACTTTCTATTCAGTCAATATATTTGCAAAGACCAGTCGTCATACAATTATTTTACGTTTAGAATTTAGACAAGTAAACAAAAAGATAATATTTCACACAAGTTCTTGGCAATAAAACGCACTAAGAATAAACAATACATCATACACCTATTATCTTTTGTGAAATCTCAATGTTTCGGGGTCATCAAAAACAACAATATACGTAAGCTAGTAAGTACTTACATATCATTCTTACTGTAATCACATTTATGTATATTCGAAATTAGACGAAACGAGCATCAAAAACTTTTAATTAATTATTCAGAAAATGGTACTCTGCCAATATTTCAAGTATGAAAAGGTAGTATTGCGAAAGGTTAATGAAGTCCTCTTTGTGATACTTGAATCAAAGGCTTCAATGCCTTTGTATTTTGAGTGAGCGAGTTTCTTTGAAGTGAGAGTGGCCCCACCACTACGAGTTCAGAGAAGCAGGGGGCGTCAGCGATTTATTTTGATTTTCTTCACATCGGTGGGCATGGTCAGCCTTACCTCCTCTAACCTAACATCCGTTCTACACAAATTGAAAACCTTGAGCGCTAAAAGATAGTATTAAAGGTGGCTACATGGGTATGCAAAAAAGAAAATCTCTTAAAATAATGCAGATTGGCTGTTTTCGTTGATAGCGTGAAACAAACATGGGTTTCTTTTTATGGAAAAGGGGACAGACGGTTTATCCGATACGACCTTTATCGTATCGGAAACTGATTTTGGGGGTCGTCGAGGTCTATAAATCTACCCTTATTAACTATCACAAGTTCTCATTTGTTTGTTTTACTTTAAAAAAACTCAACAAGTCGATAAGCGTGCAGTGACTTGGCTATGGAGTCTGAGGTATCAATTCATTTTAGAAAAGGGGTCTCCTCCCCAAAATTGTTTGGGAATCACTGGTCTAAGCGGATATGTATAGTATCCGTAAACCATGGGAGAGTCACGCTTCGGCACATTATGGGCAGGTTCCACCGGAACGATAAAAAGGCCTTACAGAAATCCGGTGTTAAGAAATTCTTACATTGCTTTTCTCCGAGTAACTGAAGTTACGGGAGGCCCAATACCTCTCCCTAATACGGCGTAGTAAATTGCAGCTACTGAGACAAATGTGTAGTTCAGTTAGCTCAGGGATTATCAAATAGTTTAGAAATACATTAACAAATCGGCAAGGTGTAGAATAACTCTGATATTGCAATTGCACAGGCTAGATCTCACATCGTTCGTTCACGATAGGTATATATCATTAAAATCACATGGCATGAATCTATGTAAACACTATGTAATAACATGAAAAAAAAATTGTATTAGATATTAAAAAGTAGGTACATACATAAATCACATACAAACATAAAGTTTACAGTTACACAGAAGTCATTACTATACAGTAGGTACCTCTGTTGGGTAGAGGGTGTCGTACTTGCCATCACGTAGCAAAGATGTCACAAGAATCATATTTACATAATTAACATTCTGTTTATAATCGGCCAGTCACGAGACGCTATTTACCTACACATAATGGTTTATTAAAGAAGATTAGATGCAATTGTGTCAAAGCAATACAACATGTATGTATATTATCTATAATATATGTTATTGTGTTAAGAGTTTTTTTTACGTATTTAAAACATGCAAATATTTAATGTTTATATAGAAATAGCTATAGCCCGCGGCTTCGCTCGCGTGATTGATTATTCGTAATTTCGAGTGTCTAACTTTGAAAATGACGAGCTTCCATTCAAATTTTACCCCCTTAGGGGCAT